AGATGCGCTCTCCGGCCTATTTTGGCTTTGTAATACTTCCATATGTGCAAAATAATCTGTAAGTCTGTGTTTTTCCCGTTAAACAAAAAAGACGTGACATCGCAAATAGAAAAAAAGTTTACATACTTACACATTATTTTAGTACACAACTAAACTGATTTATTTATAGTTCTCAACATAGTGGATGCCTATAACCGTTTCCTATGATGACACTTACGTCACTGACACACAAAAGTCGTTTTTCCTAGCCTAAACAGACGTCGAAATAATAATAATAAGTAATTACGCACACGTTCTTGAGAACTGTATCTTAACTGTGACGTAGTATGAGTAATACTCGCTCGTATTTTGATCGCCACTCGACAGTATTATTACACTCGGTAGGAAGACATTCCTCACAGCTAGCTTCAAGTGTATTTATTGCTATAATGTACGATGAACTCTTTATGGCGCATACGGTGATCATTTGTTTCAATGTTACTCTGGTATGCGCGATGACAGTATTACTTCTAATGTTGGTGTTATAATCACGAGAACTTATTTATACTATCATAATTTCTTAAATTTTGCTTTTTTTAAAATAAAATAACAATGTTATATAAATTATAAATTGAAAATTTTTACGGCTCGGGCAGCATTTGAACCGGCATCCGCAGTGTTCCGTGCTGTTGCTCTAACCAACCGGTTCAAGCCCTGCCCGAGTCGTATTTTTTAATAATTCATAATTGATTTTTAATTTGTATAGTGCCATCATGTGCAATAACATGTGAAAAAATATTTGAGTTTTTAAACAATGTTATATTCTTAAAAAGACTTCAGTGAGGTTATTAAGAAATTCACAAAAAAGTTTCCGCATTTTTTAAGACCAGATTGTCGTCTTTATACTTCTAAAGATTGGACATTTAAAATATTGCTGTACTTATAAATATTGTTGTATAAAGTGACTTCCAATTGTAAAAGTTTTAGAAAACTGTCGATGGATGGTTCTAATAATATACACTTATATAGCCTTATACAATTTAATATACATTTATATTATTTAAAAAAACGTTTAAATCATCCATATCTACACAGTTCGCCTTAAATCTGAAGTGAGGTTTCTGCAGCCCATTGTTTTATTCCGGTCTCAATTACGTTTAATAATAACAGAACAATGGAGTCAATTTACCTGCCCCTTCTGCTTTGTTAGGAGCCAAATGGCAATCCACATTGATATGCTAAAAGGTCGTTGCTTCCAGTATTAATGCGTATGGATACGGTTTATTCTTCCCAACTTGAAATCAATAACAGGTGTCCTTATAGATCGGAAGCCAGCACTATCAATCTATATATATGTTTCTTATATATAGTCGCGTCCAATTTAAATAACGGCTTATTGTTTAATTTATTTACAAAACTCTGTTCTACCTTAATACTTAATTCTAATCATAGACTTTTATATATATATATATATATATATATATTGTAATTAATTTAATGCAAATCGAAAGCCCTTAAGTTTTCTTCTTTCACACACTTCTTGCACACTTCTTTCGTCATAGTATAAAACGACAAGTCTTCTGGCATATAGGCTTTTATAGAAATACGAACCCATACTTCTAAAGTCACTTAAATTTGCTCTTGTTCCAGTTTCCATCATTAAGTTACTAAAATTAATATAATATAATAAATTAACATCGCGTTATTAATGCGGGCCTATTGTTTTCTATGAGAAGTTTAATATCGTTTTTATTGTTATCAAACCGAATATGAATATTTATAAAAGTTGAAAGTAGTTTAAACTGAAACTGAATTTGGACTTTATATCTGTTGCATAATTCAGTAAAAAACATAACATTACGTTTAAAATTTGCCTTTGGCAAAATACGACAAATTTAACTAATAGTAATATATATTGAATACAACACGCATTCTATTCAAAATGCGAGTACTAAGAATTTAGATGTTAAGATTTCAATAAGAAAATATAAGAAGCAACTAATGTATAAATCAGTCATCAGTCAATATTAGTCATGGATAACATTATCATATGACTATAATTCATACAATTTCTAAGTGAAAATTCAACTTTTGTGTTTCTCTAAATTTCAGTCGATTTTTTTTTCATCTCTATCTATTTCTTTTCGTGTTTCGTCATTGGGTTATAGGTATCAGTTGACCAATAACTATCCCATACAGCGTAATCACATTAAAGTGTGTTAAGACGACAATAGCTTTAAATACAATTAACACGGGTCAACGAACGCTTAAAGCTAACTACTTTATCCGATTAGCTCTTCAAAGAACGCTTAATTCCAATTTGCCTCCTCTCAAAAGTTTATTTCAGCAGTTTCTTTTAATTATTCTTGTTAGCCATTGTAAATTGTTAATCTCAATCTACATTAAGATTTTGTACTCATGCTGTTTTATAAAAAAATCGTCTTTGTCGGTATGGGATATTTAATATAAAGTTTCATTTATTATACGTCGACACGTCAAAAAAAGTTTTAATATCTTCATCAGCATACTAAAGAAAATAGTTCAAACTAAATTAAACGTTGTCTTAATTCATTGTCTTGATAACAATAAAATCTTGTTCGAAAAGATAGTCCCAACAACTGACGCGAAGTATCTATGTCAAGTTACCGGATGGCTCTTTGTCTACAAGAGCTTGTTCCCGCATACATAATCTCGGCTATGAATCACAATAACAACTTGTAACAGAGCTGATAGTATCATTTGTTGGAAGCACGTTTGAGTTCGCTGAATGCCGTAGATTTAGGCTGCGGTCTGCTATAAACCTCGCAGTTCTTACACAGCTTCTTAATTATTACAAATCGTTGCGTGTTTCGGAACACTGTGCGAAAGTGATGGCGCTATACGAAAAAGACTAGCTATCTCGCTTTCTCCTAAAGCAGGGAATAGACAATCATTCGTTCTTTTAAATCCCTACGCAGGATTTTTAACATTATTGTTTTATATTGGTCATGGTACGAATCTGAGTAATGTTGTTTTAAGCTTGCAACAAGATGGTGGATTGCACTCAGGTATATTCGTGTATGACTATTAGGTAAAATTTCGCGCATAGTACTTAGTACGCCGCAGGGAATACGCAGCAACACTTAGCAGCAATTTTCTTACGTAGAATCTGAAATGGTTTCCCATACAAGGGCAAACAAAGAAACCCATTCTTAGTGGTGCACGGTTACAATGAATGACTGCACAATGTTACTACTTACAAGTCGAGTTATTTATGACCGGCTCTCCCGCGATGTTGTGATTTTGCGACGGATCTGGGGGGTTATTCTGGAGAAAGGGATACATTATTTACGCTTAAGTTACATATATATATATATATATATCTTTACTTATATATATATATAATAAGTAAAGATATTCTCGCCTAGTATCTACAATTTCGTTTATAAATTCACATTTCGTGCTGTCCAAAGTACAGTGTCATTACTTATCTAATTAGTTATCACTAAATCACCCGTTCTTGATCTTTCTTGTACTAAGATTTTTTTCCTACTATTATACGATACTGTTTACTCATAGCCTTGGAAAGAAAATTAATGAGCCCACGCCAACTGGAGTTGCTCAGATTTGTATTGAGGTCTCCAATCAATTGTTGCGAAGACGCTTTGCGTAACTATTGTTACGTTGTTAGTGTCAAATTGACCGCCTTCAGTCATGCGAACGTTGCAGTTTCAAAGACTTTTATAAAATAAAATATACTTTATTCGGTTTATAATTTTAAAAAAATTTTGATTCGTCAAAAAATGTTTGTCTGACTGTCGTGATTCTACAGATTGTTTCAAAGAGCAACATGACCGAGAAGGACACGCAAGAAACTCAGTCCGGCTTTTTAAATTTCTTTAAATTAATACTTTTTAAATCTTAACCTAAGAAGCAATTTATATAACTACCAGGCATCCTTGTAATTAAAGAGATCGTTCGAACAAATAATGGTTCTCACCTCACTTGCATTTCTATTATATAATTTTTTATTGTGTTTAGATAAAAAAATTAAATCACAATCACAAAATCAGTGAGTTGGTTATTGCATTCGATTGGGTTTAAAACAAATAAAAATATTGGTCGTTTCGAACTCATGAGTCAGATTTCGTTCAATCTTCGATAAGCGGTGAGTCAGCAATCATTGAACGATGGCCAACTTGAAATCTGCGGAAGAGATTCGATATAGGACAAATTGTTGAAGTCAAAATCGTAGGAATCAGCAGTTTTTTAGACATTCGTTTTAGCAGAGGTTACAATCCATCTTGGAGCACGTTTAATAAATAAAATTCGCGGTTTAGACCGTTAAAGTGTTTTATTTAAATATTAATCTACAAAACCTAACAACAGTAGCAATGTACGGGTAATAATCAACGGGTCATGGGTTAGAACCCCGCCCGGTCCAACATGTTATGTTTAAAATTATAATTTTTCTGAGACATGTTGAACGTCCGGAAATTGAGATATTAAAAAGGTAAGAGGAATGTCAAATTTAAGTCCGAGCAACAAACCATCGTCCACAGATGAAAAAGCCATCAAGTTTAATCGCGTTTCGGTTGCAGTCTGTGTAAAATAAGTCGACAGCGTATCTTGTATAGACATTATATAACTCCATGCTTGTCTTCCCACTTCCATCATAAAAAAACTGGTTCGGTTAATTTGTTTTTTATGGGTCACATAAGGTTTATGCTTCGTCGGGCGCGCGGAAAGAAACACATGCTTCACACTTTACCTTTGCTTAAACGAGTAATGATCTGTTAAAAAATTCATGTCTCGTATTGTTGTATCGTGTAGTCATTTTCTAAGCGAAGGGAAGCTATCGATTTGACTACTATTATTTTGTCATACATATTTTCATATGTTATCAAAACTCGTGGAAAACAATATAACCGGATAATGGTGTTTTATTTTTAGTTGTTACTTAACTATATATTTTAATTTACTGTCAAATGTGTTTAAATGATATAGTAAGGGAATACTAATTAATTTTACTTTGTCCACAGAGCCGTCGGTAAAACCTGTCTCCTCATCAGTTATACAACAAACGCTTTTCCCGGGGAGTACATACCGACAGTGTAAGTAACTACATAATATGCAATTAATGCACTTGTTTGCAATAAAGTGAATTAATGTTAGCACCGACTGTGTGCAAAAGTTAATTCACTTAATTAATGTAGAATTACATTTAATAAGGAAGCCCCCTGGCTTTGAATCCTAAATATCTCGTAAAACTCATTCTTGTTGTTTGATTTAACTATTAAAAGTTTTTGTAGGGTACAAAGGTAATTACTACCTGTATGTGTATAAAATCGATTAGTAAAACGTACACAGAAATGTGTCTAAGCTCTACGTGGTGACAAAAATGTAACTTTGAGGTTTTAGAACACACATTTTAGCAATTTGAAAACACAGACACTAGTTTACAAGGCCGCCTGAAAATTATCTAATATAGTATTATACAACAGACTTTGAAACAACTAGAATCCGGATAACATTATAGTTCGACTCGACTTTTATCGTGTTGGAAGGACACATAATTGCTGCGATATAATTCTTTAAATACTCCAAATCCTTATTTAATATTTCCTTTGTTGTATGTACACAATCAAATGTTTTCATTTCTGGCTTACTGTTTTATTCTTAGAAACCACATCACGGCTTCAAACGGATTATTTTGATACAATTCTTACTACAGTTTAATCCCACGCGCATATTGTATCGCGTGAAATTAATTGGTTAATGTCTTATTAGACCGGTTCCCCTTATACGTCTAGTATTGAACAAGATCAGTTATTCACTCAATTATGTAACAGTTTTGGTCCACTAACGCCGACGCACCAATTAACATACACGGCGATTAATGGCCATTAAAACATATATTTAGTCAGTTACTATAGCGATTTTTAGGCTCTTTAGGCTCAAGAAGGCTCAAGAATTAATCGGGTCCTCCTCCCCTCTTTTAGCATAGCTTGAATTAAGTGAACCTTTAAAAAATCCTTTTCTTCTACGCTTATATCTTCTCAAGGATAAGGTTATAGGGCCCCTAAGTTCCAGGGCCCTGGTGCACTGCACCACCTGGCCCTACGATAGCTACGCCACTGGATAAAAGCAGCGGCGTCGAGTTCCTTGTCAGTTCTTCTCGTTCGTTCTACGCCCTTGATTTGAGAACTTGTAGTAAATGTAATTTTAGAGTTTTTAATTTTTCCCTGATGCGACGTTCATAAGTGTACCTTCTTGCCTACGTGGTTAAATGATTTTTGACTTAGTACATTGAATGATTTTCGCCGAAGTTACCATTATTTATCTTCGACATAATTTGATGCATACCCGAACGATCATAAAAATACCAATATTAAACGATAACGTTGTTTTAGCGCTTAAGTAGATTTAATGGAGAGCTTATTTCAATTGACTGACTGTCTAATTAAATAACAATTACTTAATGTTGTGATAACACAGCGATTCGTTGATTCTAAAGGACTCACAGTCTATTTAATGATAATTATTATTAAAAGATCATTAAGCAATAAGGCCAGATGTTGATTACGTAGCAAGAATTTAGCCACCTGTTCCTCCAAGAAAAAGTTAGTCACGTCCGTTGCATCAGTAATTCTATATCTTGTTGCGTGGTAATGGCTAGTTTAATTCAATAATAATAATCAGAAATACAGAATACGATTTATTTAAAGTCATGTAAACTTTTAACGCTGAATTGCGAAATGGAAATTAAAAATTTTGTAGCTTAAATCGAAAAACATTCCAATTTTAAAATTACGACCCGACGTTTCGCATACTTTAGAGTAGCCACGGTTAGAGAGACCTTTTTTCGTTTTAAACCGTACTTTTACTTTTAAATTCCTAATAATAAAAATACTAATATTTGATTTCTTGAGGCTGTATCAAAAGGAAATGTTGACAAATAGCTTTCTAAAAGTATAATCGTTTTTCTTTAATTTATTCTGCATCCTATGTTTCAGATTTGACAACTACTCTGCGAATGTGATGGTCGATGGCAAGCCCATTAACCTCGGTTTATGGGATACGGCCGGTCAAGAAGACTACGATAGATTGCGACCACTCTCCTACCCACAAACGGATGTCTTCTTAATATGCTTCTCACTCGTGAATCCAGCCTCATTCGAGAACGTGCGAGCCAAGGTAAACAAACTACTTATATAAATAGATGCTGCAGAAATAAAAATGTACTTAGACTAAAAGTAAATCGATGACACCAGCAGGAATAAAACCCACAATCACATCTTTACTGACTACGCCGCCATTGTTTACCTAAGAATATAAATGTAACTTATAGTTGATTTATTGTCTCACAGGACCGCTTTTTAATGTGTAATATAAAGGTGACAGGCGAACATTGATCATATAACATAAGCAAATGCAATATTGCTTTGAGAGAATTATTGTACATCCACAGTTTATTTGCTATTTAAAACCTTGTTAAAGTATTTTGGGCCCAAAGCTCTCTGTTTTATCAGGGATACAGAAAACATGTTTCTTTTTTTTTTCTAAGGTAGAGCCAAGCTGATTACTTTATATTAACTCTATGTAATAATAATCTTTCAGTGGTATCCGGAAGTAAGGCATCATTGTCCATCGACGCCCATCATCCTTGTGGGAACTAAACTCGATCTCCGCGAAGACAAGGACACCATTGAGAAGCTGAAGGACAAGAAACTTGCTCCTATCACCTATCCACAGGTGTGTTATACCGACGATGATATGCTATAGTACTGATAATGATCATAAACATTGACTTTCTTAACAAAGATTATGCATTTCCCATCTTCATTTTTATAGCACTGGGACCAGTTATATAAAAAGATCAGTACCAGCCATAATCGCTTTAAGGTTCCTTACCTTAGAGCAATTGGTTTGTACATGTGTCATGGTAGGTTGCAGTAATTTTATATATTTGATTTGGTTACCAGGGCCTAAGCATGGCGAAGGAGATAGGCGCCGTGCGGTATCTAGAATGCTCTGCACTGACGCAAAAGGGCCTGAAGACTGTTTTCGACGAAGCGATTCGTGCGGTACTATGCCCCGTGCAGCCAGTCAAGGTCAAGCGGAAGTGTGTGCTGCTTTAAGAAGCAGGTGGGTTATAGGAGTATTTTTTGTGACCTATCTGTTATATGGTCCAGTAAGAATAGTAAGCAAAACTACAAAGAGCATGTTCAATATCAACACATTTAAGATTACCAATATTAACTATAAGTATATACAAACTTGCAGCTCAAATTGAGAGCTAATAATTTTCGCTAATAATAAATGACTGGGTTAATTTCCTAATGTATCTCATAAAAGAGAATTCATGAGCTAAAACTACTACAGTCTGGATTAACTAAATCGCTGAAGATAACCGGTTACTTCTAAACTGCGGCCCTGGTGCTAGAAAAGTTCGAAATATTAAAATAACACTTCACATATATCGTTATTTAAAACTGGGATCTCGTAAACTGCAGTTAGGTGCAAATCTCCCGATTGATGAGGTAGAGAACATTAATGCAGTGCAAAATTTCTAAAATAAATTTTATTTTTTCAGACAGCGTAGCCGATAGAAGACAATGCAACCTGTGCTACATTGCTATAGACGCACCACCACCATCATCAGCCAGTGCGTTCACAATGGACTGCAAATGCATACATAGATGATAATCCTCTAATGTTAATATAATCATTAATATAACATGGGTGTGAGTGAGGTCCGTATATATGTTAACGCTTTTGTATAATCTGTGGAAGGACATTTTGTCAGTTGTCTATGGTATATAAATGGTTTTATACAATTTAAATATTTTGGGTGCTTTCTCTCACACTAAAATAGATTAAATACATTCCTACATTAATTATCAGGTACTCTACGCCCACCATTTGTTTTTAATATCACATTTTGAGGTTTCAACTTGAAATTGTTAAATTTTACGTTAGGCAGAGGTTATATTTTTCGATTATTGCTTATTTTTGTTTTCAATTGTTGTAATTCATAGTAGATGTGGATAAGTACATATTCAGTATTCAATAAGAATTTATATTCACGTAAGATAAGCTTAATGTTTAACTTCGATCAACATACGCTACAAATTACAAATATTTTCATTAGAAAATATATTTGGCAATTGAATATTGAAGGTACAAAATGTATGAAACATTTTTGTTCATAATTTCGTTTCGGACGTTTTATTTCGATGTGCCAGCATGGTTGATGCGGACTTGAGTACATATCGAAGAGCTAGCTAAGCTTAAACAATAAGCTATATGATATCTTCATTCATACAGTAACCTTCAAAAGGTTTTAAAATACGAACATTAACCGATTATAGATGTTTTAAAGTTATATGCGTAGCAATGTACCACTTAAAGTCGTGTAGTTTATAAAATATATCAATTATTAATGTATTGTCCCGTACATCGTAAAGTCCAGTCTAAAAATATTGCCAATTCGAAGTAAGTTTAGCAGTAAAATTTAAATATATGAGAAAGTAACAGGTATGAAATGTATAGTGAAGATATCATACATATTTGTATAACTATTGCATTACACCGCACAATTTTTATGACATTAACCGACCGAATTTAAATGGACAACATTTTTATCCGTTCACTGCTATCACTGCTCCTTCTAGATTCGGTCGCGTAGGTTATTTTGGGGGGACGTTTCGCTAAATGTGATACTGGGTTTAGGCTTTAATTGACCTTTCGATTGACGGCCTTTAGCTATTTTCTACTGGACCTTGTTTACTGGTGATTGTTATTTGGTTAAATTAATTACTGTCTAAATCCACTCCAAACTAAGTTTAATTAGAATATGGTGTATGAAGCGTCTAATGCGTGTGCAATTGTTACTGCTTATTGTCACCCACATTTCGACGCGATGCCATAGATAATATTTGTTATTCTTAAAAGTTTGAGGTAAAAACGTAGAGCTAGTTGCTTTAAGGTACATTTAACGGGCGATACTCTCAGATGGTTAAGGCTGTGGTTCTATACAGACTGCATAGGTATTCATTTTCGATTCTAATGAACAGCATAATTTAATTGCGCGATAGACGCCATCTTGTTTTCCACAAGGCGAAAAAGGTCGGCATCATCGTCGTTGGTACGTAATAACTATAAAACCGATTCAAAGCATTTGTGCCTTTCCATTCGGCTTCCATAGGCGAGAGTAAGAAATAAAAGCAATATTTTTACATAATGGTAAATGAAACAACTTCTTTGAAGAGCGTCTTAAGTCATCGGTCTCAGTCATGATTAAAGAAGAATTTAAACTATAAACCCTTTCTAAGAAAGGAGAACTTTTTTCAGCAGTAAAACAGCAATAGCTTGAATCAACGTTAGCGTACGCAACCTGCCTTTATGAGAAACCACAGCCAAACTCGCTGATGACCAAACACAACAAAGAACGTACCCCTCGGAGCATTTCTCGTTTAAAAGTACCTTAACCGTGAAGCATCAACAATTGCACAAAATACTAAATAGTTCATAGTAATAAGGTTTTAATGTATGTATTGTTCAGATGCAAATATTTAGAAGAATCAGCATGTAAATAAACATATTTAGTTCTAAATAAGTGTACTCCAACGCACCGCTTTCCGTGGTGTTGCATTTTTATAAATTATCTTCTAAACGGACTTTGTATTATTTCAACTATTGTTCAGTACGTTATTAAAATATGTTTGATTCAGTTCTCTTGTTTGTTATGAAATTATACATTTAATCTTTACTTGTTTTTTAATACTATTCTATTTTTATAATTCGTATGTAATCTTAGAAGCATTATACCTATAGTTTAGCCCAAATTTATCCATTTTGTATAACCTATGTATAATATTAAATTGGTGTTAGCTTATAAATTTGTTCTGTACAACTTATCGCGTTTGTAGCTTTTTATTGTGTCTTGTGACTTCTCCTATAAGCATCTAAGAAAATAAATTCTTTAATTGATTTTTATCTGCGACCATGGTGTGAAAGGCCTGATAATCTATTAATTAATACAATTCCCGTTTTAAACCGTTCATAAATAGTCTTGTCTGTCATAATTGTTTTGAATATTCAATTTATTGTTTTCCAAAAGAAGTAGATGAGTATAATAAAAAGATACACGCTTAGTCGTATTGTTAATAATAATGTTGTAAGTGTCCCCGCTTTAGTATCGGCTTGTATTATATTACTTTTATACAAATGTAAGTACCGCTGACCGTATGCAACTGGTTCGAGTATTTCTTCCAAATATTGTGAAGCCTCTGAATAATTCAAAATATATTTATATTAACTGTTCAAATGTTTGTTTTATTTATGTCCTTTATTAAAACGTATATCGTTGTTAAGTATGTAATAGGAATAAGCAATTTAAATATTATCTGTAGTTTACGCGAGTAATACATATTTCAATAAAACACTAACGGTTTAAATCGCGATATATATTAGTTAAACGTCTCTCCTTAAAGGGAGACGGGTGACCACGGCTGCTGCAAAGCATCTGAAACGTCGGGCAGAAGTAAAAATAAGTTTAACTAATATACATCGCGTTTTAAACCGTAAAGTGTTTTATTTAAATACGTAATTTAGGCTTTAGTCTACTATAAATGTCGAAGATAGCGTACAGCTTTAGAGTCGTAGTTATTCGAACCATTACAGAGTTACCGCCGAATTTTAGATGTACATACAAAAGAACATAGTAGAATGTTGTATGCGAACTACGCCGTTTATATCTACAACGCCGAAACATCTGTATCTCAATTCGTATGTATAATTTAAAACATAAGAGAAAATTGTTGTTACGTAAACATTAGGTCATTTGATAAATAATAATATCAATTTAGATATCTCTATCTGCTGTTTACATTCACATGGCAACAACTTGTGTTACACTTTCAGATACTAATATAATTACCTCGCTTTGTTTGTAAACTGATTTGAGACAATAGCCGGAAAATAAATACTACTACTAATGTGTACTACTCGCGTAAACTATAGACAGTATTTAAATAAATAGTAATTAAAAATATAATTTCGTAGTAAAATTGTATTGAAATTTAGTAACGTAATACATTTTGCGCTTTAAACTGTTAAGGGTAAAGTAAATTTAAATGTGTACTACTCGCGTACAGACAATATTTAAATATTTAACTTATAATTACTTAACGGTTTAATACCCGAAATTAATATATTATTATTAAAGACAATCCGAAGTTCAGTTAGTGGAACACGTTAAAAGTGTGTTTTTTTTAAATATTCTTCACTTTTTATCAAGTAAATTAACGATTTTGAATTTATTTTTCATATAAATATATTCATACAATGTTAAGTCTTTATAATATTCTTATTCAATAAATAATAAGACGTTTATGGTTCTTCAGATAAAACGCGATAATAACGGGCTGTCGATAGAGGTATGTTCTTTGATTACGACAGCACTAAGATACATTAAATGACAACTAAACAAAACGTCGTGAAACCCGTTTAGTCGTATGTGTTGCATTGCCAGTGAGCAGTCCACTACGTCGCAAAAATAATACGTAAATATTGCAAGTGTTAAAAGTAAGTAATATTGTAAGAAGTGATATAGAAATTGTTAAAATGGCGAAGCTATTAAGTCAAGAACTACCAGATATCGAGGTCAGTATGGTTTTAGAGCTACAGTATTTAAATAAAGCGGTATCAAAACAAAACCGAAATTCAAGGTTTTGTGATAGGAAGGTATCTCGGATAGTTACTAGTGTCGTGTTTACAAAATATTGTACTCAATTCCAAGGTATTGCTAGTATGATGTTGTTTAACACGAATTACAATTACTAGTTTTTTAAGTTATAAATAAAGAAAGAAAGAAATAAAGAGAAGCCAAACTACCGCCTTTTGTACTTTGAGTCATAACTGTTATTGTAGTAATATTGCATTTAATTGATTAATTTTATTTAAGACATTTTGCGACTATAGTAAATGGATTTCGTACAATTAAACCAAATATTCTTAAGGCAAAGACCGAATTTGGATCGCTAGCGAAAGAAGTATTAATTACACAAGCGGGAGTCGAAACGCGAACTTCCCCAATTGAAATGCCAAGCTTCGTCACCGAATATTTTAAATTTTTTATATAAATATACCTTTTTTTTTAGGTTTCAAATTGATCAATAAATAAGTTTAAAAAAATCATAAAATTTAAATTGTCTCAAAAGGAGTATTATTGTTTAAAAGACTTTAATGACAGGGCTGCCTGGCATCGATATGAATGCTCCTTATTAATCCCATTAAATTCACAAAAATGTATTAGTTTGTAAGACACGTTGAAAAAAGCCAGGTGGATTTCTTGGGTTTTCTTCTCTGTTATGTTGCTCTTTTGAACACTCTAGAATAGTAGAATCACGACGAACGGACAGACAAGCATATTATTTAATATTTTTTTGACGAATCTAAATAATTTTTATAATTTTACAGAGAATACAGTATATATATTATTTTATTTATTGCATGTCGATGTAGTCCCTCGCTGTTGGTCGTGAGTTCAAGTCTCGACCTATAAATTAAATAACTCCCTATACATAATATCAGTTCTCATTTGCATTTTTGAAATGTGATGACGACGTTAAAATTATAAACATTTTGTTATATTATACCATGCATGTGTCAACAGAATTTGCTTAAATTGAATCCGAAAATCAAGCCATACAGTAATTTGGTTCCGTCAGCGCAAACGAAGAAAACTAAACAACATTGGAAACGCAACACTGATAGAAAGTGCACAGTAAGTGATTTCATTAGAAGTACCTACTTTTGAAAACATCAATATTTTTCACATGTTATTGCACATGAAGGCACTATATAATTTAAAAATCGAAAATAAATTGAAAAAACTGAAAAAAGAGCAACAGCACGGAGCAGCAAGCTGACGATGCCGGTTCAAGTCCTGCCCGAGTCGAAAATTTTTTCAATTTATTTTCGATTTTTAAATTATATAGTACCTACTTTTATTTATTAATCGATACTTATACTTTCATAAAATAATAGATCGTTGGTCTCATCCTATTAACAGTAAGCATAATATTGTGTTGTTATGCTATTTTTTAAATGTTAGTTAATTTCTGAATAAATTCATTGCGATATATTATCTCTATTCACTCGCTATTATTACAGTATAAGACTATGATTAAACATCTTCCTTCGCAGACTTGTCCTTCACTAGAAAATAATTTTGATGATATCAAACACACAACACTCTCAGAACGCGGCGCCCTCAAGGAAGCAGCGAGGTGTCTCAAATGTGCTGACGCCCCTTGCCAGAAGTCTTGCCCAACGCAAATAGATGTTAAAAGCTTTATTACCAGCATTGCTAATAGAGTACGTACATTATTTTTAATGTAAAAACTAATCGATAATTTGAATACATCTAGAGTTTATCTTGGCAATGATAAGCACTTGATTAATCTGGATATACTTAAATATAATATATAATTCAATTCCTTTTTACAACGTGTGCTGAAAATTATAGAATTAAATACTGTCCATAGTTTACGCGAGTAGTACACATTTTAACGGCTGCTGCAAAGCATCCGAAACGTCGGGCCTAAGTAAAAAATCATTTTTAAATAAGTTTACCTATTATATATCACGTTTTAAACCGTTTAAGTGTTTTATTTTAAATATATAATTGTTTTATTCCCTACAGAATTACTATGGAGCAGCTAAGGCGATTTTATCAGACAACCCTTTGGGTCTCACCTGTGGTATGGTGTGCCCAACTAGTGACTTATGTGTTGGTGGCTGTAATCTTCATGCAACAGAGGAAGGTGCTATTAACATTGGAGGATTACAACATTTCGCTGTTGATGTGGGTAACATTATACTTATTATTATTTTGGCACTGGGATTGAATCTAAATTTAAAAAATATAGAAGATAATTGAGAATATAGAAGGCTCGTGTTCCAACTACAAAGATACCTGGAGATTACTAAGTTCCCACAAATCTTACAAAACAGTCCCTTAAAAGACAAACACTTAAGGTTCAAATTTCTTTAACTGACAGATCTTCATGAAGATGGGTATCCCTCAGACCTTAGATCCAAATACAAAGACACTACCGAAAGGCGGCAATCAGAAAATAGCTCTGATAGGTGGTGGACCTGCTAGCATAAGCTGTGCATGCTTTTTAGCTAGGCTTGGCTACCAGGATATTACTGTTTATGAGAAGGAGCAGTACTTAGGAGGCCTAAGGTAAAGATGATATATATCTTTATTAGATCATTTCGAGTAAACTAAAACCAATGTAACAAAGGTCAAAGATGTTCAAATTGCGTAGGTATCAAGTTTATTATTTTATATGATAAGCTATTATGTCAAATGACGCATTCTTGTTATTAAACTAGAACGTGAGGCATCAAATGACAAAATTATTACATATAACGAGCCTACGTTTCATTTTATGTCTTTGTTGTTTTCAATAAAATTAATGAGTAATGAGAAAATTTTATTTTCGCATATTTGAAAAATAATGTTTCAGTTAATCTTTACACTTTTAAAAATTTCAGCTCGTCTGAAATACCTCAGTATCGTTTGCCCTATGATGTGGTGCAATATGAAATTGAGCTTGTAAAGAACCTGGGAGTGAAATTCGTTACTGGAAGGTCGCTATCTACTAAAGACCTGACAGTGTCTGTAAGTAAATATTACAGGGTATCTCACTTAAATGTTATTAATCTACTTGATTTTATTAATCAAGCGACGATTGCCATCAATGGTAATTATAGATTTATAGTGCTACGAGTATAAGAGTTGGTTCAACATTGTTTGAGATTCCATAATGTAGTATTCCCGCAGCAAACACTTTTAATAGCATTAAAATTACAATGCCAGTATTGCCATATATCGCAAGTATAAAGTACATATTTAATCATTTCTAAAGATTCGAAACGCGATATATATTAGTTAAACTTATTTTTGGTTTATTTTAACAAAAGCTTTTCGTTTTGGTGCTTTGTAGTTTGTAGCATCAATTCCCCACTGACCAAGACAAAAATAAATTTAACTAAAATCATTCAAGTTTCAAACCATTATTTTTTCTAATGGATCTACAAAGTCGTTCTGTACTAACCTAGGTTTAAAAAAAAAGTTGTACTTATTATCATCTTTTAAGGGATTGTTAAATGGAGGTCATTCAGCAGTATTCCTGGGCATTGGTCTCCCAGAGCCAAAAAGTGTGCCTATATTCAAAAACCTGACGCAAGAAATGGGCTTCTATACTAGCAAAGATTTTCTACCTCTCGTATCTAAAGGAAGTAAAAGAGGTAATTTCAAAGTCCTTGACTGCTACTTCTATGAGCTATTTTAAATTATTCTCTCTCTAATAACATTTTTTGTTTAATTATTTAACACGATTGTTATACTGGCTAAAACCCAGTAAACTCTGGTAAACGTTATTGTTTTCATGATTCGAGGGAAACCAAAGAGAAACATTGTTTATTATTCCGATGGACATTTGTTATGTACATTTTTGAAGTCACTTCATAAGTTGGATAATATAATATTTAACTACTGTCTATAGTTTACGCGAGTAGTACACATTAAAATAAAACACTTTAACGGTTTAAAACGCGATATATTAGTTATTGACTAACGGTGTCTTCGCGTTTGCCGGTATGCTGTTTATTGGGATCCAGAGTTCCTCCTCCATGTTTAGTCTCCCCGTGATCATCTGCTGCAAAGCATCCGAAACGTCGGGCCGAAGTTGAAAATCTTTTTCAAATAAGTTTAACTAATAGATCGCGTTTTAAACCGTTAAAGTGTTTTAATATAATATTTATTTATTTATTCGATCTCTTGATCGCCTCCTTTGTGAATAGTTTTTAATATGATAATGTATGGTGACAAAATACTTTCCAACACAAACCTTTTTAAGATCCTCATACAATATCATACTTTATATTACAGGTATTTGTGCCTGCAAAGTCTCTCTACCTGATTTACATGGCAATGTGATAGTACTAGGAGCTGGAGACACTGCGTTCGATTGCGCTACATCAGCTTTAAGATGCGGTGCCCGACGTGTTTATGTTGTGTTTAGGAAGGGATTCTCCAACATCAGGGCAGTTCCCGAAGAGGTAAACTTAGCCAACTACTTAAAAAATGTTTATTAATTTGGTTAATACCTTGCTGTACTGACGATATAATAATGTAATATTAACTTTTAGGTCGATCTAGCTAAAGAAGAAAAATGCGAATTCGTGCCTTTCATGTCACCACGCGAGGTTATTGTACGCGACGGGAAGGTAACGTACCTAAACTTTTTTCTACTTGAGATTATATTGATAATTTAAACAAAAAAAAACCTTTGTACATCTAATTCTGTAGTCTAAAATATCATTTGTATTATGCAGATAGTAGCTTTAAAGATGTGTCGTACTGAACAACTAGAAGACGGTGAATGGATAGAAGACGAAGACCAGGTAATGCAGCTCAAAGCAAACTTCATCATCTCTGCATTTGGTTCTGGATTGTATGACAAAGATGGTAAACTGTTTTAACCTTATGTAACTTCGTAGTTATTTGTACTTTCTAGAATCAGAATTTATTTTCGCCTTCGATTTCTTTACTTAATATTTCAACAAAATTTATCTATATACTAAGTATCCTAGTTTAAATTATATTGCGCAAGAGGTACATGTTTTAATGAATTGAACAAATTTGATAAGGACCTGAACGGGGCATGGTAGCTCAGCCTTTCGCTACAGAAACGTTATGTAACTCGGGTCTTCAGGTCGCGTTTTTGCTTTATTTTTAAACTTTAATCTTAATTCTTAATATCTCTTTCAATTATGTTAGGTAGTTTGATTTCTATTTCTTTTTATCGGTTAGTACTTTGTTAGGATTGAACATAAAGGTTTGTTTCGACCACATCTCCACACTTCTTTACTTATTTCTTTAACTTACAGTGAAAGAAGCTATGTCCGGTGTAAAACTATCACGGTGGGGGTTACCGGAAGTGGACAGCAGCACGCTTCAAAGCTTGTCAGAACCTCGCGTGTTCGTGGGAGGAGATCTAGCTGGTCTGGCCGAAACCACTGTTGAGTCTGTTAATGATGGGAAAACCGCTGCGTGGTTTATGCACTGTTACTTACAGGTAATGTTTTAAAATGTCACAATTTAAGTTCTTATCTTTTTCAAAACATGAATATGAAGGTATGTTTTTCAAGCTTTTACATGTGTGAATTTTACAGACTCTCTCATACTGTAAATAAATTCAGTGGCCTAGTCGATTTTATCATGCTCACCCAACAAACTGCGTCGATTAATTATTATTTTATTGCATTATTTGTATATGTTATGGTATTTCCTTATTATACTTTAATGTGAAAATTAATAACTACTCTTATCTCTTATAATATTTGTTTTATTTGCTGTATATGCTATAGAATGTTGACGAATAAAAAAAATAATTGCGCTATGCTATGTTATTAGTGATAAATACCAACTACAATAAATCCAATTCCAAATTTCATCCGTTACAGTTACATTGAAATTAAAATCCTTACTTATCCGATTGAACAGGTCATTTTTGGTTTACAAATTTGTGTTCAACTTTATTTTAATATGTTTAGCCGTTTAGTCGCGAAGGAATATACCAGTTTTCACAATAAATGTAAAATGTTTGTTTGCAGGGAATTCCGTTTGACTCTCCCGTGGAACTGCCCAAATTCCACTGTCCTATAGACGACGTTGACCTATCGGTCGAGGTGTGTGGAATAAAGTTTGAGAACCCGTTCGGTTTAGCAAGCGCTCCGCCCACCACGAGCTCAGCTATGATCCGACGCGCCTTCGAACAGGGATGGGGCTTCGCTGTCACCAAGACTTTTGGCTTAGATAAGGTGACCTTAAATGTTTACCAATTATTCCAAATAATTTTACATTAACACATGTAGGTTCTTATTACGTACATATTTAGTATCACGATGGTATTTAGTATAAATAGATGTTCCTAATAGTTTACTATATATTCTTTGTAGGATATAGTAACAAATGTGTCTCCTCGTATCGTACGTGGTGTTACTTCAGGTGAAAACTACGGTCCAGGGCAGGGTTCCTTCCTCAATATCGAACTAATTTCAGAGAAGAGTGAAGCCTATTGGTGTCAAAGCATTAGGGAATTAAAGAGAGATTTCCCAACTAAGGTGGGTTATTATGATTTGATGCTTAAACATTACGAACATGGTTTTCATGCAATTTCAATTCGCTTTTTTTTAATTTTTAACAGTTTTTGGTTCTGTATTGTTGTAGAATTAAACAATGTTTTCTTTTATGAACTACTTCCTCTTTATTTTCTGATGTTTTTGTTAGAAATTTTAATAAGACGTAATATAAATTTTAGGTGATAATAGCTTCAATAATGTGTTCATATAATGAAGCAGATTGGATTGAATTAGCGCAAAAGGCGGAAGCTTCCGGCGCAGACGCACTGGAATTGAACTTGTCTTGTCCACATGGTATGGGCGAAAGCGGCATGGGATTGGCTTGTGGGCAGGTAAGATTTTTATTTAGGTAATCCCTAACATTCTTACTGCGGTTACATAATTATTACAATAAGTTTCAAATATCTTGTGCTTTTGCCCTTTTTAAATTTAGGTTAAAGTTTTTGCAAATTGCCTGAAAAAATGCTTATAGCAACAAAGCCGCCATATGGTTTTTAGAATTTTTAATTTTATATATAAATATCGGTTGGCTTTTCCAGGATCCCGTACTTGTAAAAGGTATATCGGAGTGGGTTCGCAAAGCAATTAAAATCCCGTTCTTCGTCAAATTAACACCCAACATTACTGAGATTGTCACTATTGCTAAAGCAGCTTATGAAGGTTTGTTTCCCATTTGATTATTTATAAGATTATGTTGAGTAAAGGACATTTGAATATTTACTTTTAATGATATTTATTTTTAGGTGGTGCAAGCGGTGTGTCGGCTATCAACACAGTATCTGGCCTCATGTCCGTAAGAGCTGATGCAACGCCCTGGCCAGGCGTCGGTAATATATATTTCCCTTCTGCTGATAACCACCCAAACCACTGACCACAGATCTCTCCCTCTTATAATTATATACGTTAAATTCATACAAATTTGTATTTTAATTGATTGTTCTATACTATTTTAGGTATAGAAAAGAAAACAACATACGGCGGTGTATCTGGGAATGCTACAAGGCCGATGGGTCTACGCGCCGTGTCATCCATTGGGAACAAACTTCCCGGTTTTCCGATATTGGGAATTGGTGGAATAGATTCAGCTGACTCAGCGTTACAGTTCATATTGTGTGGAGCGCCCGTCGTTCAGGTAATGATTAGAATAGGTAAAGATTAAAAGTAGTAAGATATGAAGTAAACACGTGACACTACAGTCTGCGGAAGTAAAATGACAATATGTCGCCATAACGCTTAAGCGTACGACAGAAGTGAAGCAGTTTCCCGTAAGTTGTCACTTCAAATCATCATCGGCGATTCTCAAACCTACGACAAACAGTTGTAGATCTTGGTCACATGCGCCAAAACTAGCAGCGAACATTTTATATAAGCGTCACTTGTTTTTCGATATAACTTATTGTTGACACTTGTAGATTTGCAGTGCTGTGCAAAACCAGGACTTTACACTGGTCGAAGACTATATCACTGGCTTGAAGGCTCTTTTGTATTTGAGGTCCAGAGGGCTGGATGGATGGGTTGGGCAATCACCGCCTTCGTTTAAACATCAAAAAGGCAAACCGGTCAAAACTTTGTATGATGATGATGGAAAGGTTAGTAACTTAATAATTGAGTGGTTCAGCTCAATCGAACTAAAAGCTATTATGTCCAAAACTAGTATATATAATATAGTTCGAATAAGAATCACTTATTTTGTTTATATACACATTTTACAGGTCCTGGCTCACTTTGGACCGTACCAGCAAAAACGCGAAGAAATCCTCCACTCGGTACGAGAAACATCTGATCTATTAAATGATAAATTAACGCCAGGTCAACCCATTGGTGCTGTTAATGGTTGTCCTGAAGTCCCCAAAATCAAGGACGTATTGGGTTTGGCTTTACCGAGGATTGGAGCATACAAACAGTTGGATAATACTAGACAAGTGGTTGCGTTAATTGACGATGTATGTATTATCCGTTGTTTATAAGCCTCTCATACAAAAAAAGTTAAAACGTACAAGTTATTTTATTTTTAAATCAAGCCACGAAATTTCGGATGCTTTTCAGAAGCTGTGGTCGACGGCAGACTAATCGCGATTTATACCGTTGTCTTATTTGGGTTATTTTTGCTTATCAAGATTTAAAAATATTTTGTATATACAGTAGTCCTTATATATATTAAACTATATGATATTTTATTGAAATTATAATTTTGTAGGATATGTGCATCAACTGTGGAAAATGTTATATGGCTTGCGCAGATTCCGGATATCAAGCAATCGAGTGAGTTGATTTTGAATGTGTATGATTTTTCTATCGCAAGATTCAAAGCTGGTCGAAGATTTACTAATAAAACCATGTCTGTATCCCTTCAAGGTTTGATGCTGAAACCCACATACCACGTGTTACTGATGATTGCACAGGCTGTACTTTATGTCTGTCCGTGTGTCCAATTATTGACTGTATTTCGTAAGTACTCCTTTTTTTAACCTTAAACCTTTTTACTAGTCATATAAACTTTATAAACCCTATGACATAAAAATAGAAACTTGGCTATGTTACGAACTGATTTTTATATTTCTTTATAGAATGGTGCCGAAAAAGATACCTCATATTATCAAGAGAGGCATACACTACCAAGTACATCCTGTATCCCCATTAGATGGAGTGTGCCAATAAAAAATATAACTTATATAAAAAATATATTAACCATACAATATACAAAAATATATTTTATAAAATTAATTCGTTCCTAGCACTGTCTGTTGTATTTTATTTGCTCTCTTTTTTGCATATTGCCAAGAAAACACCCAACCATTATGTGGATTTACTTTTAAAGTTAAGGCCGAAATAGGTTCGGGACAGTTATAGTGATATTTAGTCAGTACACTTTCCTTTAAAACTCCGGATTTAAGATCATGTAATTTTTTGCATACGAAACACTCGAATTTTTCGGCTACCCTTAACGCGTCAACCTGGTAGGGTCTCGACTTTAACTCGTTGACAAGCCTCTCGTTGCTTATAAAATCATAAATTTTATGTTCCAAATGTTTTTCATACAAACTGTCATCTTTGAGTAATTTTTTTATGTACTTGCTCATAACTTCTGGTGTAGGATAGTCTTCTAACAAAATAGCAGATTTTTCATTTGGTAACCATTCCCGTATCGTCGGTGAACCAAAATAAATAGGCACGGTACCCACTTTGATAGCGCGCCAAAACTTCTCGGTAATGTAATCGTCGCAAACGCCGTTTTCAATAGCCAACACAAATTTGTATCTAGCAATAAAGTGTAAGAAGTCATCGTCGTTCAAGTGGTTTAAATAATCTTTAGTAAACTTCGCTGGCATTTCTTTATTCTTAAGGCATGCTCCATAGGAATCAATGTTTATATATTTCATCAATTCTTTTGCATATGCATCTCTCTCAGTAGCTGTTTCACAATCTGTTTGTAAATACAAAATGGGTGACATATTGAGATGACTATTTTTAACATCTGTGGGTACAAAATACCTTTTGCTAGTTACATCTTCAATGGAGTCCAAATATTGCAATGGAAATGGTACATCGCTATATCTACTGAATGTAGAGGAGAAATTAAAAAGGCTCAACGTTTGCTCATGTGAAAGCTCCTCTACATTACGTGGAGACTCTTCGTGGTATAATCCCCAAATAACTTTCTTGGCATTTCTAGGTAAGGGGAGTTCATTAAAGTTAATGTTACTAGCATAAAATAAATATGCATCAATATTGTTTTGCATTGCAAATTTATCACTTCTTACACGACAGGTAATATCCTCTGGGCAATACCTAATCTCTTGTGTCCCAGGAAAACCATTTGTCCACCACAATATTACAGGCAACAAATGTTCTTGAACTTTATCACTTCTGTCCCAAAACCAAAGGACCAACAAAACACATAAAACAATTAACACTTTCAAAAACTTTTTCATTTCTCTTAACAACATTTTAACAAAGAGCTTTATGGTTTGATGTATCTGCATTTTGTACAATTTAAAAATTAATAAAGTTAAATGGACAAGAGTAATATCACTTATCAATGGAAGCACATTGTTACGTCATTATCAATTTCCTTTTAAAAGATCTATGTGTTAATATGTTATGCCCCTTTCCTTATACATATAATATCCATCCATACAAAGAGCAATAAATAAATCAATATAAAACAGTCCATAAATTGCACCAACAATTTTACCCACTATAAAAAGATTAACAAATGCTACAACAGTGATAATCAGCTCGATTATTACATAATACAGTTCTGCCTCATACTGTACTTGGTCAACAACATATAATATCATGATTTGTGTAGAAATCATAAGTGTTGGTCCAGCGACCAAGCAGTTAAGTATGTCCACAGGTTCCACAATATGAGGTATTACATTGAGGAGAAGAGCCACTACCTAAAATAAAGATATATTTGCATGTAATCATACAATTCCTTTGCATACAATGGATCTAACTTTGTTAAGTTAAATATATGTTTCATTGAATAATACCAATTGTATTAAAATAGAAATCATTTTATTCTTTAAAAAATAATAATAAGCCTCTTTCTTTGATGCCATAATACTGATCTATACATAGAGCTATTAAAAGGTGGCAATAGAATAACCCATAAAGGGCACCCGTTGGTTCATTTTCTAAAATAACTAATACAAATGCAGCAAGGTTTAGAGAAATTTGTAGCGACAGGTATAACTGTTCAGCTATAACATGTACTTGGTCCACTAAGTATAGCACGACGAACATGACTGATAAGACGAGGGTTGGAGCCACAGCCAAGCAATGCATCATGCCAGGATTGCTCAAGACAAACGGAATTATCATGAGCATTAATGATATAACCTAGAAGTAAACACGATACTTACATTTCGTATTTACATTACTTTTTGAAAGGGGAAAGGTTTGCGGCTCCCTCAGGATATTCAGTTTATGTTTATTAAAATATATTGAGTGTCTGCCATCAAAATAAGTGTCTAAGTGCAGTGTACAGGTATTTTTAATTTTTAATAATACATATAATTAAAACTGTTTTGGGTAATTTATATGACATCTTTCTAATATTAATTAACCTTGTCTAATTTGTAAACTAAGTCTCACTATATCATGAGATTATATATATATATAGAATAGTGTTTAAAAAAATTGTTTACTATTTACATTTTTTTCTCCCAATAACTTTAATCAAATTTATACACCTTATTATTTTTTTTAGGAAAATGACAATTGACACTTTCGTTTAATAGTCTGGCAAGGGCTTTTAGGACTGACATATGTTTTACTATAGTAATTAAAGACCCAAAAAATATCCTATACACTTTATTTAACTAAAATAAATAATAAAATATATATGTAATAAAAAATACTTAAAGTATGGTAACCTGCATTATTATTTAAGCACAACTAAACGTACAACCTCTTTCGTTTGCAATTAGAAACAAGTCTAAAGATAAAGCAGTTAAAAGAGCAAAGAAACATACTCCATAAATTAACCATAACCATACCCTTACAAGATTTAACAAAAAGCACTGAATGAAGGCTCCAAAAGGTGAAAAAAATTTGGAAAACTAAATACATTTTTTCCATAAAGAGGGGTACTTTTTTTCGTAAATATAAAATAACAAACAAAAGTGATATAACTGTTGTAGGTCCAGTTGCAATGCAGTACATATGACCTTGGGGTTTCGGTATTATCATCGGTAACACCAATATTACAAGCGATATTCCCTAAAATTAATATTAGAATGATAAATCATGCGCCCACATAAAAAAAATTGACGGTTGATGGCAATGATGGTAGAAAAAGACAACGTGAATTTAAACAAGAGTTAAGATTTTATAGACCGTAGAAGTACTAAATAACGTTGTTTGAAGTACTCATAAATAGGTAGTAAATAATAGGGACTTACAAATTCTACTAGTTTCATGATAAATATGTTATATCTTATAAGCTCGCTCCATTTTTTATCTACGGGGACCGAATCTGAAAAAAATATTTTAAGTCACCATAACCCATTGTATAAATATATAGTAATGAAATAATATTAATAAGTATGATTTTAATGAAGTTACCGTTTATAATCATATCAGACATTTTGCTTATTAGAAAATATAACCAATAAAAAAAAATCAAAGTAATTGGTGCAAAATTTAACAAATTAGTTTTATTTTAATTTCTGCTTTAAAACTTTTATAAAAATAAACGTAATAAATGAAAAAGGGCATAAAGCCAAAACTTTTAAATCACGTTTGTTTGACTTTTATTTGACATCCTATAGTTTTTTTTTTGTAAATGCATTAAAAACTATTTTGGCCAATTATATATAAATGTAACCTTGATAGAAAAACTCAAACATCCGATCTAACCATCTTCAAAGAACTACCACCAAACTTACACGTACGTAAATTACTTCAACCAACAAACAAACAAACCTCAATGAAATTAAAAAGAAAATAAAAATGAAACAACGTAATGGAAATCAAAATTATCAAACATGCAACACACGAACTGAACTAAAGAAAAATCTCCGATTGCCGCGCCCACACCCCGCTAAAACGAAAAAAGACGAAAATGAAATCTCTTAGCTCTATCACACACCTGTGACCCTGCATTAGGAATTCGTTTTGCCGGCAGTGACAGGGAGATACATGGAAATATTTGTTATTTTACGAAATAAATGGCGCAATTGTCTCTAGCATGCCACATTCTATATGGTAAGTGGATTGTTCAATTCATGAGGTTTCTTTGCAACTAAAACATAAAACTTCAAAAAAGTAGTTGACAAATAGTTACCCCAATTTAATTTAAACATGGGCTAAGGTCTCATTTACCGCCTTACGGGTTTTTTTTTCGAGATCGGCGTGGAGGTTGGCATTCCGCACGCATCAGATGGCTCTAGTAGCGGCTCGAGTGAACTGATTCTGAAGCACCTGGAGCCTGTGGAGTGTGCTAGGGGCGGCGTGGACGAACGCGACTCTGGAGTAGGCGAGAATCGGACGGAAAAAAATCAACCGCCTTACCCACGCAAGTCTGGTTTAAATATAAGGGAAAATGTCAGCTATAATCTATGGCGTGTTAACAGATTATAAAAATATTGTAGTTTACTCATGAAGTGTCAATTTAGTGTCAATTTTATTATATGTATGTATATGTAAATACTGGGCAATCGCAAGAAATAAGATGGTACTGCATTTTTGATCGTATCATAATGTTAAAATAGGTAGATTCTTAGATAATTATTATTTTAAATAATTATAGTCAGAATGGAGGAAGACGACCCTGTAGTACAAGAGGTACGTTATTTACAAGTGTTTAATAGTGTTCTAGAGGTTATGTTGCAGTGTGTAAAATTGTAAATATTGCACTTATATTTCAGATTCCCGTTTATTTATCTCAGTCTTTAGCAAATAATTTGTACATTTACCAGTACCCAGTTAGACCGGCTAGTAGAGATTGGAAGAACTCTAAAGTTGAAAATTTATCTATAAAGCCCAAAAATAAATTAGTTCGCATGGAAGTTGGTTTAGATCCTTACAGTGATAAGTACTGTTCGTCGAAGGGAGAACAAATTGCCGTTAATACAGATGGAGTACAAGTAAGACTTCTTTTATAACATTTCCTCTTTAAAATAAGTTTACAGATTAGTGGTTCATCCATACAATGACTTTGAATATTTAGTATGTTGCCCTTTGTTTATTCTTCCCGCGTGTTTAAATTCCAGGGTTTTATACGAGAGAAGGAGCGAGAAAAATCTAGATATTTCAAGAGTGATGTAATGGATAAAATAGTTTATGAAAGTAATACAACATGTGTTGATACAAAACATTATGCGATTGGTTTTCTGCACGATAAGGAACTACACTGTACTCCAATACAAGGTAAAGATACTCTACAGAGGGCTGTTCAACTAAGAACAATTAATATAAATATCTGAAAATAAGTTGCAGTAAACATATATGACCAATAGTGTGCAGGAAATATAATTTGTATTATATTTATTTGCATAATAATAAATGTCTTTTATAACATCATAGTTAAGGTTTATTGTTTGCTCAACTAAGAAAAAATTAAATTAATAATAATTTTTTGTATACAGGTATTGTTCAGTTGCGGCCCTCATATTCTTATTATGATAAACAAGATAAGAGAAAACAAGACAAGAAGGAAGTAGATATATCTGATGATGAAGAAAAAGAGCCTGAGCCACAACAGGTATTTATTAATTTCCTTAAAATTATGACTTTTTTACATTATAATTTAGATATGTTGAACATGGTTGAAATTCAGTTCAGTTGAATATCAGTTATTTTTTATTGTGTCAGGTTACAGTGAAATTTGCTCGAGTCGAAACTGATATGGTCAAGAAAGCTAGAGAGAAATCATTTCATACAATCAGTCAAAAGGTTGCTGAAGAACCTTGGTATGACGCCTTGTGGAAGAGTGCAGAGAGTGATCAGGCTGAGGTAAATATTATTATTATATTGTTTAAATATTCTGTATTTATATTATTGAAAGAAATTAAGATAACTTAATTAATGTATATTATAATAGTTGGAGAGGCTAAAATTGTTTAGTGCAACAACAGCAGATGGCTCCGCATTGAGCCTCAAGGCTTCTGATTATATCAAGGAATTAGTGCCCAGGGCTGAAGAAGATATACAGCAGGAAAACAGTAGAAAAGTTTCCCTGCAAGACTGTATAAAAGAGATACTTATAGAAGGTAAATTTACACTTCTTATCAATTCTTTATGTATTATTTACATAGTTGTTGTTTTGAATGCATCATGCAATGTTAATACCTTGAGCACAAGGGCTTGGGTTCGATTCTCAGGACATAATTAATAGATTTCGTCAGGCACGGCACCAACGGCCGATCACGATATAATTGGATGAAGGCAATTAAGTTAATACCATGTGAGAATGAATGTATCCATCTATCTTATAGAGATATAATGTAAGAGTTTGGTATATAAACAGTATTGTTATATTACTACTTTAATTAATTATTTTGACCGCTTGGCAGCTAAATTAATGACTTTCACGGAGTTACGAGAAGCTGTGCGTCGCAGTGGTGTTGCTAGCGGTGGTGATGCAGCGCTGTTGACAGCTCTGGGTGCCGCTGCGTGCTGCGTACGCGGACTGTGGACAGCACGATCTCAGGATGTGTACCCACGCGCTGCACCAGTTCCACCAAGACTGATGTGCGCTGCTCGAGATCACGTAGTAAGTGATTACACATAAGAGTTTTAGCAGAACTATTTTTGAAATTTGATATATTAAAAGTTCAATGTGCTCTAAAAAACTGTAACAGCATTTTAGCTGTAGACCCGCTAAAATCGTATTTATTTAATAAAAATTTGTTTTATTCAAATTGTACTGTAGAAGTGCAATGTCTTCTTGAGTGAATATTTTTAACTTATCTGATAATGTTATCCACGCATGATGGTGAATTGACGAGAAGCATTTGTCAATAATAACCAAGGGGTTGAGTACATTGCTGTTGTACCTGAAACTTGTAAATGACATTTCATACTTTTTTATAGTTGTACCTGTTAACGCAACACCCATATGTAGATCGACGAAAAATAACGGCAGCAGTCCGCCTTCCGGCGAATGAGGTCTTGGGGATCTTACAAACTGTCGCACAGCTCAATCCCAACACCGGTTGGGAACTGATACTTCCGCCAGATATCTCTTTCGAAGAGAAATATCCGGAAATTATTCAGCATCAGAACTCGTATTGGGAAGCGAGGCAACGCCAATTCAACGAGATGTTGATGGGAGAATGCGTACCAAAGCGGCAAAGGAAAAAATCGCAGCGTGATTCTATAGGATCGGACACAATGTTAAGTCCGAAACCACGCTGTAACAGTGTTAGTGAAGAAGAAAACGATAGGAAACGATATAAAAATAAATCTTCCACTGGGGTTGGGAAACGGACTAGAAATGTGAGTGGGGGGCAGGATATGTGATGATAGTGGTAATAGGTTATCAATTTGTATAAAACTAGGCGTTTTTTAAATGATTATGAATCATAAAAAGCGGTATGATAAAAGCATCAGACCGGAGATCCTTGATTAAGTGTACTAAAGCTAAATTTATACATAAATATAATAATAAGATAAACCATTTCAAAATTTAAATGTCTCTAGCATCTCTCTATCAGTTATTTTAATGCTGGCATTAAGAGACTTATAAAATGATAATATATATGTAATTATGTTACTTTTAACTAGCAAATAATGTCACATTATGTTGTAAAAATCTCTAAGATTTAAATCAAGACTGCCACATAATTTACTGGTAAGAAAAATGTTTTACAATCAAATGAAAGGCAGGTATTAAATTGTTATAATAAGAGTTCTTAATGTGTACATAGAATGTTAAATGATAAAAAGTGATTCCCTCAAATATGTATCTTTATCGCTTCTGTTGTTCAGTTTAATGGATCTTGTTATTCTTACAAAAAATAAAGTCTAAACGTATATGTACTGTATTTATTTCTTGTTTCATATTTAAGGGTATACACAACATCAACCCATTCTCCTCGTTTGCGTCGATTATATATTTCTTTTGTAAAACGTTGCTGCTTTTTTTGTTTGGATAAACGATTTAATTCGTAAAATATACATGTGAAATATTATTGACTGAGAAAATTTTTCCTATTAGCTTGTTTTGAGTAAAAAATTAAATGAATCTATATACGGAAGCAAAATGAAGGAAACAGGCGATATTTTTTTAACACTTTTAATTTCTAACATTTAAAGCTTTAATGCGAAACAACAATTAACATTGAAGAAATCTATATATAAACACGAACGTTAAACAAAATTGTGCAATTCACATAAATTAAGAATTTAGTGAAAAAACAGAGTAATTCAAGGCAAATATTTTCAAATGTATATCAATCCTATAAAGTATTATAATATGCTTCTTATTAATAATTTCTAATAAGTACTGGCAAATGGCTTAGTAAGTTAGTTACAAACATAAAATCTACACATTACAATACAATAAAACATTTATAGAACAACCGTCATCATAAATAATATGTACAAAATAACCATAATGTTTCGGGCATTCGCTCATACAAATTTAACAGATTGTTATAAATTAGATTGCTAATGTAAAGATTTTGTTTTATCTGCAACATCTACACACCTTCAACTTTCTTTATTAATATTATATAAGTTCAGTAAAACTAATTAAACAATATCGAATTTCAAGTACGAATGTAATAAAATAAACTACAAATAATGGGCTATTTGCACAGCTGAAACAAATAAGTAAATACAAAAACATTTTTTATCGCTTAGTCATTAGCACCTATGTATAGCTTTACATAAAATGCAGGTAGACTAAAAATGAAGCCTTTGGCTTTTAAATAACTGAAGTCTTTTGTATCTAATAATACAATGTAATGTTGCTAAAACATATAGGTATGTATATAGTGATTTTTGGTAGTCTACATTCATAACAATGAGATTAGCTACTCTTATGAGATAAACTTTGAACAAAAAGCAACGAGGGCGATAGTGAGACCTACAAAACCGTTAATATTTTTGGCGCCATTGCAGAAACCCAATTCACAATTATCGGCCACGAGACCCAATCGTGTTTTCACAAAGCTCCAATCGCAAAGACCCACGTTACAACCCTCTAGGTAGAGTGTACGTTCGTTTGAGAGGAAGAGTACTTGGTAGGGCTCCCTGATTTTCAAGTTATTGTTTGGGATACACCTGCAAAAAAAAAATTCGTTAAAACTAGTAATAAGAAGTTTTACCGAGTATTGAAGCGTTAATGAAACAGTGTCTGTCGTCTTATCGTATTGAAGTCTTAATCTAAATAGATCTTTAATTGATCACAGGATCTTTAATACTTTCGAAGAGCTGGTTAGTGCGATGTACATTAATAATCCATGGGTCTAACATTTTTCTATCGATTTATAATTTTCCTGAAACATGTTGGACTTCGTCTGGAAAAGAGGATTTCACCTAAATACCGTCAAGAGAACCCCATGCTGGTCCGTTTTCCTCTACCATTAAAAAACTTACTTATACAGCACAGCCGCGATATTTGCATTGAATGGCGACATGTTAGATGAGCTCCAACGACGCTCCCGCGCAGTTTGGGTGTGGTAGTTGTCCCCAGTGAGAGGCGCTATATCTCTGTACCCGTTCAACGCTGATAGTGTCAATAGGATCATCTCTGCTTCAGTGAAGTGGACCATTGCTTTGGGTTGTTGAGGGGTTTCTGTAATTGTTCTTAAGCTTATATACCTAACGTCGTATTTATTTTAGTACAAGGCAAGTTCGCAAATTATTACCTATTGTAACCTGACTCATAAACTTAACTTTATTTCATAGTGAGCTATCATTAAATAAAACACTTTAAAAGGTTTTAGACGTGAACCCTTAATCTTGTCTCTTTAATATTTTGTTTTATATTAGGTACCTTGATCCAAGTGAATTTTAAAGAAATCCATCATGTCCTTAACTGCTGTACATCCTATTTTTTGATTCATTGGCGTCCCGTAGCCATACTTATAGTAAGTTTCCAAATCCTCTGAGTATTCTAGGCGTTTGATGTCTTCTTTTGTGAAAACCTGATGAACATACATATATTTCAAGAGACGGTCGAGACGTAATAATGTATGGCTAATACTTAACGGGTCTTAGGTTCGATTCCCACTTTTTACTTACTTACTTTGTACTTACGTACTTACTAACCTTAAGAACATATTTTTTTTTAACCCGGCCGTATTAAATTCGAAATTATTTACGCGTCATTAACCACCATAAAATCTGTAATTTATTCAATAAAGAGGAACTCGTAACTTACAGCACACCAAGGAGATATTTTCTCAATTTCCCAGGCCTTGTTATACCGGCACATATCGTACATGCTTAGGACTGTTTCCAGATTTACGTCGTAAGTGAAACCTAGACGCAGTGATATATTGCTTATCATCTGTAATAAAAATATAAAATTAAAACTCATTGAAATAAACAAAAATTGAATGAGTGACTTTATTAACACCTACATTAAATTTATAACTTTAAGGCGAAGAAAGCTCTGTTTATATCAATGTTTTGATAATACAACTTACTAAGATAAAGTAAAGTTTATTAGAGATTTAGACTCGACAGTTACCTCTTTGTATTCCTGTTTGGATTCAAAAGTGCGAAGTTGTGAGAGCGTTTCATTATTCTCCTCTACATCTCTAGTCCAAGCTGGGCAGAATTTGTATGGCTAAAAATAATATAATATTCAGGTAATTAAAAATGTATAAGATGTCTTTTCCGGTCGCCTGTAAGAGAAAACTCATAGCGAAAAGTTAATGTCCTGTACATAGTAGTTATGTAAATTGTGTCTATATATACCTAATCTATGCTATATCCAGAAAATCCTTAAATAGGTAATATTATGTATATTGTAACAACATACCCTGAGTAATTTTTCGTCACTTTCCTTTGGCACGTCCATGCCTTCTGCTTGGTCTTTGAACAATCCTTCCGTGAAGGCACGGAAAGTTGTACTTGAACGTTGATCGTTGACATATTTAAACTAAAAAGAAATATAACTCTTCTATAAGGCTTGGAACTTGGAGACAAGAACAAATAGAAGAAAAAGAAAGAAACGACAACGGATTTACATGCGATATTTTTAGTTAAAATCCTTTAACGTATGACTTACTAACTAGCTTAACTAACAACTATCGCATTCTTATGTTATAGTCTTATTATATTTTAATGTGTAGTCGGGTGAAGTCTACTAATTGTAATTATCATAACAGCATTACGAAACTATTTATATTTTTAACATTTCCCAAGTTATAAAATTATTTTTTTTTAACATTTCCCAAGTTATAAAATTATTATATTAATATAATATAACAAATTTGGAATAGCTTAAAAATTTCATTTCATTTAGTTGGTACAACAAATACTAAAAGATGAGGATGTAAACTCTAAAAAATTAAAGTCGTTTTTGCGAGTCGGTACTAAACTTTAGGTTTTATTTAATGTATAAGTTGAAGCTGTTATGACTATTAAAACAATTAATCAAACAAACAAACCAAGTAATCGTATCTGTTGTCAGAGAAAAGCCCAGGGTACTTCGATCTCCAGGCTTGAGCCAACTGCTGAGTTGACATGTAGCCGTCTGTGGTCAAATCTCCGGCGTAACTTGCGTTCTGACGAGGATTCCACTCCCAACGTTCTAAAAGATTAACGTCAGCTGCGCACATGCGTTGCTGCAAATCAAGAAATTGATAGAGCTGTATTATTATTTGATCAGCATTTTATCTTAATTTAAATCGAATTTAGATAAAAAAAATACGATACTGGCGGGACTTAAAACGGCATCTATAGTCTTCCGTGGTGATGCTCCAAACAATTGAGCTACCGAGTTACACGAACATGGTTAGAACAATAATGCCGGTTTAGGTCTCGTCCATGTGGTATTGTGTGTTGTGTTGATTTCATTTTTCAATCTAATTTCGATTTTTTATTTATATAGAATGTAGAAACATATTAAAGTTTCTTAGCATTTTACCTGTATATTTTTTATGTATCTAACGCCTGTTAAATTAATATTTTAATACGGGAAATGACTTTACAAACCACTAAGTGCTCGTACCAACGAAGGCAGTTTTATATTCTCCCGCGAAATACTGTGTAAGTTAATAATAATTACACAAAATTCATTATATTTTTTAATTTGTAAATTTTTCCATAGTTACTTTCAGGGTATTCATTTTTAAACTTTAGTAGAATATGTTTAATATTAAAATTAAAATAGCATTTAATAATATCCATTTTTCGTTACATTGTTTATGACAATACGAAACAAGAGTACACAAGCGGTGATACACATTGTGTACAGTACTGCCAGAATAAAGCTCGACCTTGATTTTAAAACAGCAAGATTCATTGAAAATAGACATACATTAAATCTTTACGTAAATTAGCATACCTATCAACTTTACACAAAACAAGAGAACTGTGTACCCTTGTTTTTGATCTTAATATTACGTCACTTAAATTGTGGCTAAGTTGAATAGGCTAAAGATTGCTAGGTAGCAGACATTTTCCACTTACGTTGGTATTCCTAAAGTTCCCATTCCTGTAGTTTGCAATAATGTTGTTCTTGAAGTCAACAAGCTTCTGTAACTCAGACATTTCATCTGCCTCAGGGTTGTGTGAGCCATGACGATTCAGCAACCAAATTGCAACTGGTTGGCAACCTATAACAATTGAAAACATATAAAAAAAGAATCGGGTGGGACTGGAACTATTGGCAGAATATATATTATAAACGAAAACATTTGTATTGTAACAGTCTTTGTAGTCCACGTAATGTAATTTAAATTCGTATTTAAGTCCACTGCTCGAAGGTCCGTTAATAATGCCTTTGTACACCACTAAGTTACTTCTAAGCAAACGTTTAAATTTTCTTGGCAATTTTCCAAATGCTAATGTGAAAAATAAATGTTCTATGCCTTACATATGACTCAGTTGACCTTAACGGCGTGGAAAATGAGAATATCGTGAGAAATAATGAGTTGTAGAAGGAAAATTGGAAATTTTTATATTAAATTGAATTGTAGGTACGACTAGCGATATTCCGCGATGTTGCCCATGTTACTTCATAGTATTTTATGCTTTTTTAAAGCACGGACCCAGGAATTAAGTTGTATATTTTATCCCCTAAGGAAATACTTTCTTATCGGAAACCAAACGAAGACTATACTACTACACTTAAAGTTGCGAGTTCCTTCGATCAACGGTTACGGCTGTGCTTTGATCTGATAACAGTAAATAGTTCCGGACAAAACATTTTTATTTCATATATAATATAGTTGAAAGTGTTATAATTATATGCAATTAGTTACATTACAGCACGAAGGATCAAGTTACGGGTAAAATGTCGGTCTTTGTAATTCAAATTTTCTTGGAAAATCGCAAAATTGTTTCATGCTTTATGGTCTGTTAAGTGTCGAAGTCATGCAATATGCCTAAAACGATTGGTTTTTGATTGATGATATTTTGTTTTCGCTGTAGGGTTGTTGTAAATCATTGTTTATCAAATAGTATATATAAAAGTTGTTATCGCGTAGTTTTGTTATTATGTCTCAACGATTATTGTTTTTATTTCGTTTCGCTTGATGACAGGATGACATTCGAGAAGTGACCGGTTTCACTTGGAAAAGATGAGCTCAGGATAAAAAGAAGTGGTGGATAATAGGTTGGAAATGTCATTAGCTGTTTGACACTTCTTGGAAAACAGCAAATCACACATTTTAAAGTATTATCCGCGTGATTTTACAAACGCGCCCTCAATGTTTTTAACATGAATAAAGGCTATTTGAAATTTGACGGGTACAACGGGTTAAATAAATTTTATAATATGTGCTTAGACATATATGTAGATCTAGTTCTTATTTGACAAAGCAAAATAAAGGGCCGATTTTAATGAACGAGGTATCTGACATCTTGTTATAATGGCGAGGAGGACGGATTTAAAAAAGAAAATCTAATCTTTAAAATAAATTCATTTAATTATTCATAGCGTATTTAGTAACTATAGAAAAGTACAGTCTGTAGTTTACGCGAGTACTCATTTAAATAAAACACATTTAACTGTTTCAAATTTCGAAAGGTATAAGGTTTTATTATTATTATTTTATTAGTTGACAAATGCATTTCGTGTTCTATTTAAAGTAAAGTTACGAAGACTTTTCTTTAGATGATTTAGCTTGGAACCTTTCAGTCGCGTACTTATTTAACTCAGCGTTCATAATAAAGATAATTTTCTGCTAAAATCAATGTTTCTCAAACAATTGACGAATTTTAGAACTTTTTTCAACTGGTGCGTCGTTATCTACAGTTTTCTTATTGTGTTAACCTTTAGCCTGTTAGCATAATCAAAGTTAGCAGATATTAAGGGCGTTATAATTCGCAAAACTATTAATAAGGGGCATCTATGCTCTGACCTCATGGGCTCATGACTCACAAAGACGACCTTGGTCATACTCGTTTGTCATAGGCATTAATAGTGTTAGACGTAACGAGCAATTTGTTATTTTCGACACCGCTGGCTGCCTCGTTAATTATTTAATTAACCGGACAACAGTTTGCGATGGAAAGTTATGAGAACTTTTTAAATAATATATTGTTGTGAATACAAACGGGAACAAAAACAAAAGTCTTACGTGCGACGATATTATATCTAGCTTAGTAGCTTTCACATGGAAGTAATAAAAAGGGGAATTTGTTTTTAAAACAACTGAAAAACTCGAAATATAGTTATTTTACAGTTAATGATATTTATTAGTGCATTTCAGCCTATCGATATTCTTATTATAAAATTGTGGATTTTCGAACATCTAACGGCCGACCGCGCATCTTCTTCAGAATAGTTATATTGGTGGGCTTTTCCACCATCCATCAGGTGAACCATGCTTGAGATCCTCTATTATAAAAGAAATGCTTAGATTAAACTTTTACTTATAATTTCTAATGGCTTTTCTTTCGAATCCACTTCTTACAATAATATCAAAGAGTAACTACCTAATCAGTACTTCCATATAAAGTCGTTGTAAGCAAATACCTAAGACTCGTGTCTATTTTATAACAAACTTGTTACGGCGAATCACTTAAACCCAACTTAAGCATAATAGTTAAAACGTGAATGTTTAAAATCTTATATTACATAAAAATTAAAAGTGATAATGTGCTATATAATATTAAATATTTAAATTGGATATCATACAAAATACATCAAAGTCTTACATTAGCTACAACTAATTAACAATAAAAAAGCGTGATAAAAATATGAAGCAATGTTATTAACTAACGTAATTAAGTAACATACAAAGTCAGGTTGAAGTACATAACATATCGCCCCTAATCGTTATAATTGGCTGTATAATATAACGTATGGTCCCAGACAGTAGATTGCTTGTACGTGATTGTTGACGTACGTGCCGCAACGAAACTCGATGTTTAATTAAAATCCCAATATTCACATGATGACACAAGTCCGGAGTATATAAATACACAAAGGGTGGGCGTCAATGTGTGCCTAGCTCAAATATAGGTCAGAGTTGAACCTTGTGCTAATGCGCTTTCACGGTCTCCCGTTAACACGTCGATTGCAAAGCAGGGTCTAAAAGACCCCGTTGGTATCTCTGCACGATGTCAAAATTAAAAAAAAAATCCAAAATCTATGGCGTGTTTCAATATACATGATGCAGTTATCGAGTCTAGTAACTGCCACACTAAGATAAGACTTCTCGGGATTTAGGTTTTTTGGAATTACTATTATATTATATTTTGTGACCCGAGGTTGTCAATACTAACCGAACGTTATAATGTCATAAGCGTAGTGTCGTAACTCCTATTTAGTTCGGGATAAAAGAATTTAATATGTGTAAGATGAATGACTGATTATGATTATTAGTATAAGTAACTATCAGGTTTCTGAGACTTAGTTATACACAAAATTTTATGATAGAGGAGGACAGATAAGCATTGGGTTCGTTTGAGGGTAGGTGTCATACCCCAGTCATAGAATATCTAATCAAGATGCACAGACTTAAATCGAAACATGTTTAAACTTAACGGCTTTTTCATTTCAGGTCGGTGCTTTATGAACCGAACGGAATTTCGATCGTCCTACTATCCATTTAATAGGCAGATCTCCAAATGGAGCCTAATATGTTTAAAATTATAATTAGAGACATGGCGGGAAGCACGACCCGTTGATTATTTATCATATATTCTACCATTGCACCAACTAGCCCGGCAAAATATTAGTCTTAATTGGCGCAAAAGCCTTTACTACAATCCATTGGTGGTATGTGTCGCAATATTCTCTAGGGTAAAATAGAAAACGCCGAGAAGCACAAGTGAATCAGTGCTGCAGTTAAAGTGTTAATGAAAGCGCTGTGTACACTCAACATCACAGCTTAAAGCTTTCTACTTCGCTTCTCACTAGAATCGATTTTAATATCGCCTCTCGAGTCTTGCACCAACTTTTTTATCCACCTCTTCATTATTCGTGCTCCAACTAAAATGTTGAATTGATTTTGCATGTGAAGGACTATCGAAAAATGTCTCTAATTACTCTTTTTTAAAGCTCGACATTTTGCACCCAAAAGTTATTTGAGGTACTGAATTGAAAATTTAAGTTTTATATCATGCCTTCGTACTTTATAAGCGTACTTGCATACTGCGTATTAGGTTCAATTCCGAAGGAATTAATAAAAAGAGAGTAGGTATCGTAACTTGTTTCTTACACCATTTGTTTTTAAATTATCAGATGACCAGCTCTAAATAAATTTTAAGGGTCAATTTGTTTCAAGGTGAAAAAGAGTTCTATCTTTTTAATTACATATAAAGTAATCGTCTGATCACTAGTTACATACGCAAATACAAGTAATTATTGTTAATAATATGCGAACAATATTAATTTAAATGTACAATTATTAAAATGTGCAGATAATATTCTCAGTTATAGAATTATACTGGGTATACATTCTAGATACTGTTCGTATAATTGTTGGAATAAAGTTTAAATAAAGTATTAATAATTATAAAATAATTATGCGGTTTAAATCCTGGTTAAAATATACATAGTTTCGGTTGAACGAAGCTCAGAAGTTATATTTTCTACAAATACATAAATATGTATAAAAATTTGTCCATTTTTTGATAGAATATAATAATTTGGTTTGAAAATAGTGCTATGGCATTTGTGTTTATTAAAAAGGAGGCCAAGCTTAAGCTCTCGGGTTCAAGTTTTTAGAAAATGCGAAGTGGTGTCGGTTAGGTAAGTCTAACATATTTTATCAACTACAGACGCAGAATTATGTCTTGCCGGGGTATAAATGCCATTAATGTATTGCCACCCACTAGTATGTATTATTTTACTGATTGTAGAAGAAAAGAATGACGCAGAACGTAGGTACGCCTAGTGATCCCTTTTTAGGTCTTTAATTAAAACACCTTGTACAAAAATGGAATTACGCAATACAAATAAATTAACTCCGTGTTGAGTTAAACGGAAACATTCTATCTTATTTGAATCCGTAATGGACGAAAATTCTTCGCGTATAAGAGAGTTCCTGTTCTATTCTGCTCAAGAATTCCATATTTTTTTGAATGTCAACTTTGCTGTTAAAGCAAGATCGTATTTAAAATACCAAAACAAGTTCGCCTGAAGTGAACCCCAGTTTCCCCATTTGGGGCACGGAGCAGAAACATGTCTGTATCACTGATCCATATTTACAGGCCACCACATTATAAGTAGGTACCAGATAAGATTTCCGTGTATTTTATGTATTTTCATTATAAGATATTATATCTACTAATTCGTGTCTGTCATATGAAATCCAGACATGACTGATTCCGTAGTTCAATGGTAAAATGCATTGAGTTAATAGCGAGGAGGTGTGGTGTCGATACTTAGACAAACAATCAAATGGATAGATAATGAATATATGATGCGATCTCCTTACTCGATCGAGCAAACATTTATTTCATTGTTCGGTTCTAATAATTAAAGCCATAAATCCGTTGTCCTGTCATAAAGTTGTTTTTACGCCATTACAATAAGCTAAGTAAACACACGCCGGTTGCATCATCGAATAACTCTGTACTGACACGATTTACACCTTTTATTTGTGTCCCGTTTTACTCAGGAACTCTACAATTAGATAGACACTGGCACAGATTCCAGCGACTTATCTCTGCGTATGAAATTATGGATTTTAATAGCATTAGACACGTTTGTTTGCTATTTAAGTGATTGCCAGACTCGTCAATATAATTAAAATGAAACACTTTAACGGTTTAAAACACGATATATGTATATTAGTTAAACATATTTGAAAATGATTTTAATACGACCCGACGTTTCGACGTTATAATAGTGTTCAAATAAATTTAATTAATAAATATTGCGTTTTAAACCGTTAAAGTGTTTTATTCAAATGTCTACCTACTACTCGCGGTAACTACTGTCAGGCAATGATATATTTTGGCAATGTAACTTTTTACTGTACCAATATATATTTCAAGACAATTATCGATCAGCATATTATTTATTAATTATTGGTCCTGTGTCCCATCCATAATGCTCTACTATATTAATTGAAATTTTATGTGTATACGTTACTTAACGGAAAACGCTTTTGAAAAGTAGTCAGAGACAAACTAATTTTAGAAATTATTACTTACGAGTAAAATATACCTCTACATAGATCTGACATTTTAAATCATAAATTTGTATTTATTATGTTAATTTTTGTCTTTTATCCTTAACTATCATTAACAATATTATAAATTCATAATCAATATTATTAATTATTATTGTTATTTATTACTATTATTCATGTTGATTACAAATACTACTTCACTTAAAGAAAAATGTTCTTTTATATCTATTATTGTTCATTTTTGATTTTGAAACACGTCTAGTCACGCATGTTGCTAAGTTTTGGAGTATTTTAATTATCTCTTTTTCTTACCGGGAACTTCGTGTGTTCTGGTAACTGGAACGCCCCTATTGGAGAAAGCATATGCAGTCTTCGTCCCAAACATCAAGTATGGCTCAGGATCAACAGAGAGGCATGTTTCTTGAAGATCTTGACCTTGGACAGCACCTATCAGTGCCAGTGCACTGATTAAAAACCACCGCATTGTCCTATGATGAAGTTTTAAGATTAAAAAATAAACTTTTGCAGAATTATTATATTCAAGAAGCTGTGGTTCAAATTTCGCAAGATGTTTCCTAATATCTATTTCAAAGAAACGTATATATGTAATTCCCGCCTCATACCTCCAGAAAGAGTTACGTAAATAAATGGTTTCCTAATGGTGCAATAAAGCTATTAATATTAATTATTATGACTAGTAATTGAGTTAACAGGAGTTTTATTAGTTTTTATTTGACCTTTATTATATAGAACGAATTATATTACGTAAGTAAGTAATATCTCTATAAAGTATATAGGTATATATGCTTAAGCTTTGATAGTTGCTGTAAACTTACTCTAAGTTTTGACAAAAATAAAATACTCGTAAGCACACTATACTATTATTATGCACAACTTAAATAAAAAAAAAATACTAAAAACACAAAAAATCAATAAATTAGATACAATGATAGAGTTATTCTTGGCCTTTTAGTCTTTAGAAAAATTACACTGTAGCGAATAGGTAATTGCTTAGTCGCAGGGAAAATCTCTTTAAAAATATCACCTCAGCCTTATTAGCGTCGTCTATATTAGTAAAAGTATATGAAATGGTTTCAAAGTTCATACTTCATAAAGATCATAAAGTTGTCATTTATTTAATAAAACCCCAAACTAATATATAATAAAATATCATAATATAGTAATATTTCTGTAGTTTAAGCAAAATCAACTTTATAATGCGTTTTTGTTTAAATCACCATAACCTGGACAGTTCTACTGTTAACTTATTTTTCGCAGTCTTTAAAAAATAAAAGTAGGCAACTAAACTTCTAGCGAACGGAAACGCTTAACGGCGAAACAAGTTAGTATAAACAAAAACATCCACATGTAAATTAAATGAAATTACAATCGTCAATAATAGGAAACACTGGCATGTAACAATCCAACACAGATAATAAATCACAATAAAAAACTTAATACCTTAACGCGGAAACACTGGGAAATATAATCTGCGACGGAAATGCGCGGGAAACGTGACTCTCCACCGACGTTTATAGCACGGACTGGCGAAGTGTCGGCGAAAAACAGGCTTCGCGTCTTGATGCGAGTATGACCAATGGGCTATGAGGCACCAATGTGCTCATGAACCAGAAAAAATGTCTCATCGAATACCAAACGTAACATCAGATTTTTATCCGACGTTGGAAAAAGTACTGGAACGAAATTATATAATCAGAATGTATGTCCCCCTACTTATAATATTACAGTAAGCAGAGTTCAATAAAAGAAAGAAAAAAAAAGGTTAGTACCGAAAATACCAACTACTAATTGCATTATAAGTACGCATTACGTTCTTTTCAATAAGAACGTATATTATAGATTTTTAAGAGATATTTAATTAAAAAAGGACATTGAATTTTCATAAGGTTGTGGAAAACATTTGCGTGTCTCAAAATAAGCTTCTCGCTATTACGCGTGTCACAGTTTTAATCTGGTGAAGAAAATTAATTTGCTAATGGTGGTTGGTACTATTATATTTAAATATTATACTTTTTTGCTTTAGATACGTTTTATTAATGAATACCTTTGTCGTGCGTAAGCATTTTTATTTATGGTCATGTATTGTATAAATTTACATACCTTTAATACATAATGTAATTGTTATAGATTTAGATTTTATTAAAAACAATTGTTTTTTTTTAATGCACGTAGAAATTGTAGCAATGAAAAGAGGTAAGTATTTTATGTTTGAAGCAAAGGTTTAGCGCAAATTAAATTGAAATTCCAATTACATTCTCTCATCTTTAGTAAGAAATATTATATAATTAGAAACATTTGAGTTCCGTAATGAGAAACGGACGTATAAAACTCCATGGTATTTGTAGTCACCCCACCCATTTCCATGTGAACATCAGAAGAAAATGACGTAAACCTATTTTCCGCGCGACTGTCTCTTGTTACCATTGAAAATGGATAATGCCACGATTGGAGTCGCGTTTGATTTATTCTGTTCTCATTCCGATTAGTTCATTGCTTTTTAACTGACAACATAAAAGTAATACCATACAGAAAAATATAACAAACATGTAATTGGGAAGAAAGTGAAGGAATTTTTGTTTCTTGAAAACCATGTCGGTAATTTTGGCATAAGCCATTAAATTTATATGTAAATAAAGTTCTTTAACTAAATACATTATATAATTAATAAGATCCAGTCTCCCCGTGACCACGGCTGCTGCAAACCATCCTAAACGTCGGGCCGTAGTTAAAAATAATTTGTAAACAACTTTAACCGTTTTAAACCGTTAAAGTTGCTTAGTTGAAAACCAGTTTATTAATTACCTTTTTTAATACTGTACATCTGTATGCAACCTTCATATCGCATGTATATATTGGCCAGTGTAACGGTCAATAACCTCCAATGTGACGAAAGATGCACTATTCAAACACAACATGGTGACCTTAATAACGGTGTGGTAGAAAGTTGTGCGTCGCAACTTATTGTTTGACTTTTCCCGGAGCTTTAATTACGCTGATAAGAGTGTGATACGCGTGTGTTCCTGTGTATAGAGTAGGGTATGCACGTTATTTTTCCTGTTAGAAATTAAAATACGGTGACTGATAGTGACATCTACGCATACGTAAAGATTTGAAGGAGTGTTGCCGGTGCATAGAATATTCTATTAACTTTTTTTGAATATTTTTAAGTTAATACTTTAAACTTTCATAAAAAATATACCGATTGTAGTGCATAATTTTAATCCAGACAACCCTATAATGTGCCAGCAATTCACGATAAGACGTTCTGAATTCTTAGGCCTATTTGCTTTTTACGATGCTAGTGCAACGCAAGGTGCAAGCTATTATGTAACACCAGCTGGGATATAACGTTGAGAGATTAAAGAACATTATTGTATAGTACGTATCGTGTAAATTTGCAGTTTAGCAAAAGCCTGTGCTCACAATTTTGCCTATGCAAAAACATTAAGTTCTAGTGAGTTTAATTTACTTGTATTGTGGGTTTTTAATAGTTTAAAGAAGGAAGGAGCAAGAAGTCATGGCTGGGGAACATCAGGGAATGGACGGGGATAGAAACGGTTGAGGCATTGCTACATCTCGCAAAGGACACCAGTCGCTTTCAAAAGCTAACGGCCAACAGTAATGGAGAGGCACGAGAAGAATAGTTTAAAGTACTAACTAGTGATTAGTGCACTCGGCTGCTGATCGCGAATTCTATTAAGTACATCACAAACATACTGTCTGTTCCGCCAGTAGTACACATTTAAATAAAACAAATTAACGGTTTAAAACGACTATATTAGTTAAACTTATTTGGAAATTATTTTAACTAAGGCCCGACGCTTCAGATGTTTTGCAGCAGCCGTGGTCACGGGGTGACTAAAGATGGAGGGTGTCTCTGATATAGGACAGAAGAGATGAAGAAGTGTAGGAAGGACGGCCTTAAGGTATGAGACACCTAGAATCACATATTAAAAACTCTGGATTCCAAAAAAACAGCAGTAGTTTAACAGCGTTTCGGTTTCAGTCTGTGACTTTCCGAATATCCAAAGCCAAATTAGATTGACAGCGCATCTTGTTGAGATGTTATATGGCTGGGGTATTCCACCTATCATCAAGCCCATGGACGTCTGTCCTTCTCTCAAAGAGTCATTTAGCTTAAAAGATCTCCTTTCTTAAATTTAAACTCTGTTGATATTTCTATGCTCAACTACAAAAGCGTAGTGATTATTAACATTTTACTTATAAACTTGTCACTCACATATCAGAAATACATTCAGTGAACAGTGAGCGAACTCGACCTCAATTTTTATGTTCACTGACCCGTTACTATTCTGAACCTATAACTTGACTGTGGACAGCGATGTTGTATAGAATATAGAAGGTATAGGACTACCGGTGATAGGTATTCATGCGTCATATGTGCTACAATTTTATCTATTTTTGACGAATTCGAAGCTTTTTTTAACACAATCCTTTTTATTATTTAAAGGCTAAAACTATACTGCTTTTTTATTTATGAACTTTTCGAGTACAATTTCGTTATCTATAAGATAGTGACCAAAAATGAATCGCTAGATCTAGTGGGGGGATATATTTATAGAGTAACAAAAAATTCGAGTTTTTAGAGAACTAAAAATGTCAAAAGTTTGGTTTATCGAAATATATGTCTATCTCTAAAGATTAACCCACAAGAACAGTTTTTATGATAATAAAACTACATATAGCAAATGAACGTTTGCCAAGTTTAAAGTCCACTAATGGTAAAATGAAACGACAGACTTCTAACCCTCAAAGAGTTGAATTATGTTTATTTTGTTCTTGGAACTGGAAAAACATTAGTCATTTCATTTAAACGCACCATAATTTTAAACATTTAAATATATTTTTAATCTAAAGCATTTATTTAAAATATCCGATTTACATTTCATAACATCAATTTGCATATATTTCGAAGAGCAACCATATTATAATTTGAAGAGCGTAAAATTCTCGGGAAAGTGAAGAAAATGTGCGCCGCTTCTATCTGGTAAACACTCATGCAAATATTATAGTTATGTTCATGTTATCTTTGAAACCATTATTTCAATAATGCAATCAAGTATAGTTTAGTATAGTAGTATACTTTTCCAGGAGAATACAGATTATAAAAAAATATGATGCTTACAAAAATATTTCCTTATGTAATGATGTAGTCTCCTATAAGTGCCGTATATCGAAGTGTACTGTTGTTGTCTCTTTCACACGATTATATTTACGTATTGAATCGTCTTAAAAATGCATTGTGCCATGGCTCTAGTAATTTCGAATCATTGCAATATAAACGTCAAATTTATTACAAGCATTCCGTACGAACGAGACATCGTCTTTCGTGCTTTAGATGAATACTAAAAGTTTAGATGTATAATGTTAATATATGCTAACACCTATAGCGTTATATGAGACTACAGCCTAAAATATAATGTCTTAACTGTGACCGCGTAACAAACACAAGTAATATTTGCACACACGCACGGCGCACTGGACCCGTAGTTCCTAAGTATAGTGATATTTTATTACATACTAAATTGTACTCTAAACGCTTAAAATAAAATAAAATAATGCTTACACAATTATTTGTATCACGGTCGTAATTATAGGGGACATGGCTTAAGTAATGGCGTAAGTACGTAATAACTATTAAAGTTAATTAAAATCTACAATCACAACGATATTGAGAGACTCTACAGTCCTCTAAATTATTTAATTAGTAACATAACTCTATGTGAAAACTTAGGGGTAACTCTAACAGTTCTAATTTTAGGCGAAAATCTTGCGAGAGCTATCCACTTAAATGCTTGAAATTATTACAATACAAATTGACATGATCTAAAATATAACTAACATTTAGAAGACACAACCACTACTTATTCGTTTGATTACAATTAAAAGAGATAATACTTCAAGAGATTGGAGGAATCTTCATTTAGTTCTTTGGTTAACCGTACAAAGTTTCTTCCTCTTCACAAGATTTAAGCTTTTAAGTAATTGTTAATACAGAGTTTTTACATATTAATAACGGGGTTTCTCCATTTACGGACTATCCCAAACCACTTCAGTAAAGGACGATCCAAAATGCAATTTTAAAATAAGCAGTTTTTATCTTGTTCATGTATTAACTGATTTATTTTAGTTTAATCTTAAATAAAGTACTGCCTTCAAATAGTGTCGTGCTTAAAGATGGTTAACTATATATATTTGCAATTTAATTATGTGATTGTTAAAATTTTTACTACTTAAGTTATACACCTCATGTCCAATCATGCTTTTTTATCTATTTTTCACACAGCCTCACTTAGGCACGAGAATTTCTCATCTCACTCTTAGGAAGTACGTACCGCCGTGGTATGTGTACATATACTTAATACTTAAATAGAAAAATAGTCACATTTATATATGTAGGTCAAAGTTACCCCTATACATATAGAGGCCATAACATAACCTCAAATTAAATAGATAATTCGTGAAGTACAAGATAATAAAACATAAATTATCAAATAACGTCCTCGTTAAACATAATTAAGTCATCAGAAATTATAATACGTCCTGTATGTGTCAACGTTTTTGGATCGTTATTTACTAAAGGCGCAATAAGACTACGACACATGTTAATTTACCAAAAACGTATAGTATCTCTGTTTCGAAGTTATCAATTTTGAGCAAACAGCGTTATAGTTTTAGTTTTAAGCTATTGTATAAGCCTTTCTTTTAAAACCATGTTGACGTGGGAAACGCCACGTTTTGTGTCGCAATCTATACTTAGTCTATCACCTAGGACCCAATTCTGATAATAACAATGGCTTGTCGCTGGCTTGGTTCTGTAGTATGTTATTCATTTATCCATTGTTGACACACTGGATTTTTTACAGACATTTGAAGTTTATTGTTTTAGTACAATACCGTTTATTTCACTAACCAGAATTGGGTCTCCAATCGTGTTACACATATCCAAAACCTTGATTATGCACATCCGTAACACGCCTGAAGTGCTTCTCTCTAAAGCGATTTATAATACTGATGGTGCGATCGAGTATCTCACTCGAACACAGCTGCACAGCCATAAACCCTCCTTTATAATAATTACTAAAATAGAGCATCTATAGTTCAACCAAAAATGGATAAACAACGCCCGAACGCTCGACGACATTTATTAATCGCTCTGTATGTATTCCACAAAAATATTTTCCATTATGATTTCTTCTCGCTGTAAACGGTCTAAAAATATTTGAATATTCCTAACGAAAATATAATTTAACGTTTGTACTTTGCTTTCTTCTTGAAATCGAACGTCATTGCGCAATTTATCGCATTTTCAGCTAGTTAGTTTTACATCGACGTCTACACACCGATAAATTCGAGGAAAACTCATACCTATTTACAAAACGGTATACCATCCAAAATATCACACTATACCGTCAAATTCTTTCCAAAAATAGAGTCTTTATCACAAACTTAGGCGTTTAGTGGGGGTGGTGGTGGTTTGTGGGGGGCGAGTCTCTCGTCGGCCGCCAAGAGCCTGTCAAGTTCGTCATCTTCATAGAAGACGACGAAGTGCTCTGGCTTGGCGACAGCTTCGAAGATGGAGCAAACTGAAGGTTTGACATTGTAGAAGTAAAGCGGTTGTTGCCTCGCATGGAAATCTGCTGTGAGCTGTTCGATACTCTTCGCTGCTGTATAGTCTGCGCTGTAGATGTGCGTGCATTCGATCACAACAGGTACAGAGTTGCTTGTGGCGCATTTAGTGACTAATCGTCTCACGTAGTCTACTGAAGGGAACATGAGACACCGGTCTGGTGTTATCATCAGATATTCTACACCATGGTCAGTCTGGAAATAACATAGATTTTTGCTTTATAACAATAAGTATAGAAAAATTTTAAACTATTGTGTAGTGCGTCTAAATATTCATTGCGATATTACAATCAAGCGAAGAATTCAGGACAGGAAGACAAAGAATATCGTTATGCTTTGTCATGCAATCGGTTAAGTCAAGACATTCCATCATATTGTTATTCAGAGATAAATATTGTCTGACATTTATGTTGTAAGATGATTAAATCTTTGCCAAAGAACAACGCAATGAAAATAACAAGAGCATTTTGTTGCATGACTATTTGTTTTGGATGTTTCTTTTTATACTTCCTTATTTTACATATGCAAATATCAAAGAGTATTTAGATAAGTAAAATGAACACTAACTTTTAACATTTCCACGGAGAACTTAGGTCTTGCAGCGTGGTACAGGATGAATACAATATTCACAACGACGCCTGTTAGAATGCCCATTTCTATCGGCAGTGCGAGACACAACACGAAGGTTGTTAGGCCAGGAATCAGATCTAGTTCTGAAATAAGCAAATAAGTTACAGTTTAAATAAATATAGTGGACAATACTTAACATTACACTAATATTAGGTAGTTCAATTCCTTAATAACAATGATTTTAACACCAGCAAGTGTTAAGTGACCTCATTCCGACATTGTACAACAACAAAGACCTGAAAGAAACCCATGTAAACGATTTAGTCACAGCCTCAATACTAATTACATTTATTTCCGCGAGCAGGTGTTATTTTATTTTATTACTTTATACACAATACTGTACTAAATCATGAAAGTACCACAAGTGTAACATTACTTCTATTTCCCTTACATTTTCCTGCATTGTTTAACCGCATTATGAAACCGGAAAATTCACAATAAGCACTTATCTAGACAATGAATTACATAAAGAATTATCAATTGATTTGAGTGAAACAATATTGTCAACTTCTAGTTAATCTATCAATTATCTATTTTAATTAATGACTTCTTACTTTTAGCTCTCCACATTGGTTTAACAACGTCGTATTCCACCATAAACAATATGGCCGAGATGATGACGGCAGCGAGAGCAGCTTTCGGAATGAATTCAAAGTATTGTGTGAAGAACTGAAGAGCTAAGATCACCATCAGGCCTGGAAATATATTAATTATTGATTATCATTCGAGTATTCATATTTAAATTGTTTCCAACCATAACACATTCGTTCGAGGTTCGAGCTATGATTTCCATGCTGCTAAAATTGATATTAAAGTATTTTAGTAAAAGGAAGATATGATTGTAGAGGCTAATACAATTTAAGTTTACTTCAACCCAAATCTTCAATAACTAACCAGTATAAAGGCCGTTGAAAGTCGTCTTCACTCCAGATCCATTCGAAACCACAGACCGCGCCAATGAGCCACCTCCAGGGTACGCTTGCATAAAGGAATTGCCCAAATTCACCAGACCCAATGCGATCATTTCTTGAGTAGCATCTATAGTTTTTCCTCCAGAGAACGCCTTGCAAATAGCTATATCTTCGAGCAACACAATCAGCGGTATAACGAGAAGACCAGATCCAAGTTCTGAGACCATGTCCACAAAGTCTGCAGTGGTATTGTCTGATCTTACATAGCTGAATGGTGGCACTGTTGGTACTGGGACTCCAGATGGGATTGCACCTAAAAATAAATTTTTGGTTTTAATTCTGAGAATCAGTGCTGGATCTTGTCAGTAAGGTGCTGGATGAACTTATTTATTGATAATCAATCGTTCGAAATAACTACTATGGCAATAATGACAGCTGAAAAATAGAAATAAAGGTTCAAATGTTGAGACTTTTAAATCGACTCAAAGTACAGGTTCTATAACCAAAAGATATTTACTCCAAATGAATATATCTTTACCAACATGGATCTGCATTAAATTGATTAAATAAAACATAGCAGCGTGCATATTTGTTATCTATATGATAGGAAAATAATTACAAGGAACAATAGATATGACATGTAGATGACTATTTTGTGTTTTATCATTACTAACCGCCCGGTACACCTTCAACTGTCGCATTAAAAAGACAAAAACAACATCATTATTCAGAAATAAGATAGTCCCTCATCTTATTGTAAAACTTTTATAAGAAACCATTTTTTGTTTCATATAATTTTGAGTTGCATCTAAACCGTAGGCTCTACTCTACTCTATATTATCTATTAAATCCTTTACGTCTAACTTCGCTGTAGTACCTAACAAGTAAAGTACGTGTTTCCCCTTATTTATTGGAATATAATCTTATTTATTTAGCTAGATACATAAGTTAATACAAAAGAGTATATAAACTTCTCTTCTTTATGTATAAAATTTAATAAGATTTTCTTACCCATTAGTCGAACGGGAGAGGAACCTTTAGTGTTAACGAACCAATATCCAAGTACCCCAGTAAGAATCACTACGATAGCGTTTCGGCAAGTTCCTAGAAGCCACATGCATTTTGTTAACACCTTCTGTCTAGTACTTGGCCCATCAGGGCATTTCTCTCCAAGTTTAAGCATTCCGATTTTCTGAAAGATATATAATTATTAGTCATGATTCTGTATATAAGTAGAACTATGTATATAATAGAATATGTTACTTCGTCAATGAAAGGCACTTACTCGCATAGAAAGTAGTAAAGCAATGCAGATGAAACCCAGAATAGGATCCCATAAAGACGCGTTATGTATGTTCTTGAAGACCGAAATCCACTGTTGCAAGAAGGTCGTTCCATTCACGGTAATTGCAAAGAGGTCCTTCACTTGTGATGTAGCTATCATAAGTGCAACAGCAGATGTGAATCCAGAAGAAACAGGCCCAGACACGAAATTAATAAGGAATCCCAAACCAAGAACACCCATTAGCAATTCTATGAGCCCAGTCAGGAAATTCAAAAGGATCGCCTTTTCAATAACACCGCCAGCGACTTGCCAGGTCAGTAACGATGCAATAGCGGTGGGTCCTGCTGGAACAGCCCGACATCCCCCCAAGAAGATATAGATGAAACACCCGAGAAACGAACCATATAAGCCGTATTGTGGTGGCAAACCGGCTATATTGGAGTAAGCTAGAGATTGTGGGATGACTGTTAAACCAACGGTTATTCCGGCTATAAGATCACCGATCGCCTTTTCCGTGTTATATCTGGAATAGAGAATTGCTTTTAGTGCATTTCTTTTTAGGTTGAAGGATATAACGGAACTAACAACCAATCCAGGCCAGCCAGCCATAGTGATTCTCACTTCTAGCTATTATCAACCACTACTAAATCTTTTTTTTTTAAGTAATTATATACATACTTTGGTAACCAGGCGGTGATAGGTATCCTCTTGTGCAGCGTTTTGCGGTTGAGCCGTCGTTTGATGATAGCTCGCCATCCTTCATTGCTTCCACTGTCAGACACTGTAATTAGTTTCAAGTAATTTCAGGGTCTGGTGTCATGGTTTCAGGTAATTAACCATGCGTTCGACGCCACGTTTAAAAAACACGTCACATGAAAATTACGCGGAAATAATTAACAATGCTTTTAACCATGTATAACGTTTGATTGTTTTGTGTTATTAACGTAAAGAAGAGAAGCCTACGTTGCAGTACGCTCATATCTCAAAGAAATGTCAATAATTCGCCATAAATCATGCATTATTCACGGTCGAGGTACGATAAATAAACCAATTGCATTCGATTGAATTGACGAACGACGCACTTATTGGCATTCTTCAGAAAAATCTAGTGAGGATCACGAAGGAATGTTTTTCAATGTAGACACGAAAAGAAGAGTTTTAATGGCCGTATGACGAAATGTATATAAAATATTTTTTTTAAACGTAAGATAAGGGGATTTTCATTATTTTCTTTTCCAAATAAAATAAATAAATAAAAATTATTATTGAAATTTATCTCGTTAATATGAGGGTATCCTTAACTACTGGCCGCCTCTGTAGCCAAATGGTTAAACGTATTGCCTAGCATTGCGTTAAGTGCCAGAGGTCCTGGATTCGAATCCCCGGGGAAACTAAAAATTGTTTCGATCAGGCAGGGCACAGAAGTCTGATCAATTTCTTGCCTGTAAAATATCAGTGAAACGAACACAAAAATGTTTGGTCCCATACCCCTCGAGGGAAAACGGGATTTCACACACAAACACACACACACATCTTTAACTGTTTTGGCACATTTTATAGCAGTTATCCTAAGCTGTGCTAGTAAAAGAATAGTTTATACTTTTGATGCATTTTATGAGTCTTTTTTCCTCTGCTGTACGCTTGTCTGTATTTTTTGCAAATGTGACTTATTGATTAAGATAGTATAATATATATTATGTTATGTTATTGTTAATATTAACAAAGAACGGTACTCACGTATATAGTCATTGCTGGCGTGCTTATCATCGGGAGGTGGAAGGGACCCTGAAGACGCGTTGTGTTTCCGCCGAGGAATCATTCTGTGAACATTTTGCAAATTTAGTTCAGCTACTGACGTAATTGAATACGATTTACATCGTCTTATTAAACAGCTGTTCAATAAAATAATTAAGGCATCGACGATATTTATGCTAGTACCTATCGCAAGGCATCTTCAATATATCACGGCTCACGTACGTACTACTTAAAAAGAGTATTAAAAAGTTTTGACTATCGTCCTAAACACTTTGAATCTTAAATTATCTATCTGCTCTTTTTACTAGATTAGTTATTATAAGTGTTATACTAAAGCAACGTGAATGCAGTTAGATTAAATATTGTCTGTAGTTTACGCGAGTAGTACGCAAGTAAATAGAATCCTTTAACGGTTTATGACGCGAAATATTTTATTAAAACTTACTTTAAATACGGCCCGACGTTTCGGATGCAGCAAAAAACTTTTATGGGGAAACGTCGGGCCGTAGTTAAAATTATGTTAAAATAAGTTTTCCTAAAATATTTCGCGTTACTACTGTTTTAAATACTGTCTTGTTTAAACAGTCAGATAAATTGTACACCGTTTTTAAAAGCTGTCTTATCAATAGCAAATGCCGCGTGATTAAGGATAACCCACAAACCACAACCGTCAACAGGTGGTTAAGAATATAGTGTACGTGATCATTCTTAAACGTGATCATGCAATTTATTGTATATAACATTAACAAGTAGTACAATTTTTAGCAATGTATTAATAATCAACTAGTCGAGTGTTCGATCTCCACCGCGTCCCAATTGTTATAAATCAATTTATAATTTCCTGAAACATGTTGGACTTCTGGAAATCGGGATATAGAATGGGTGGTAGGAACATACAAATTCCGCCCGGGTCAAGCACCACCGTCCACAAGAAAACCATGAAGTTTGATCACATTTTGGTTTTAGTGGTTATGGATTACCGAATATCATAAGCCAAAATAGATCGCAGTGCACCTCGGTGAGATGTTATATGGCTAGGGTATTTTAAGCTTCCATCTAGTGAACCCTTCTATATCTCCTCCTTTATCAGAAAATTTAGCAACGACGTTATAACGAAAGGAATGAAAAGCGAATTACACTGATGAATTTTAATAATAAAACATATATATGTTTTAATATTAAAATGTATATTCAAGAATAATAAATCTATATTTATGATTACTTTTATAATATTCTTCATGAAACAGTAACAGGAGGATAACATACACTGACACCTACTTTTTGGCTTCTTCATCGTCGGTTCAAATACACATGTCATAGGAATTTCGCATACACAAACAAAAGGCAGAAATACACGCTACTTGAATGCCTTTATTAAGTAAAATCGGTGTGACGTTTTTATGCAGATAAAAACAACATTATCATGATAACCGATACAGGGTGTTGCTCTAAATGTTATATGTAAAAAAAACAGATGCTTTCAGCAAAGGAAAAAATAAGGCTTCTAAATATTAAATGCTAAGATCGTCTATAGTTTACGCGAATAGTAAACGTTTAAATAAAACACTTTTAACGGTTTAATCCATAACATGTATTACTAAACTTATTTACAAAATATTTTAACTACGACAATACATATCGCGTTTGAAACCGTTAAAGTGTTGTATTTCAATGATACTAATATTGTTTATACATCATGTTACAAGTCTAAAGTTAACTATTTTATGACAGTGTTATACCATCCATAATTCCAGCTTACACATAATTATTTATATGTTAATCGTCCTGTGATTGTTGTTAAGATAACAATTTGACGGCTTATCGTCAACACACGCATTAGAGTTATTAAGTACATGTAAACGTGTTTTTAGAATAAATTCCTAACACTACATTAATTATGTTGCCTGCGGACCGTAGGTAACGAGGCTGTATTAACTATTCTTTGTAAAATCTTGGTAATCTATTTCTATACTGATATACATAGCTGAAGAATTCGTCTGTTCGAAGAAACAGCAAGAGATGTGAAAAAAACCGGGGAAAGTTTTTCATCTCTCAGGGTTCCCGATGCGTACGCCGCGAAAACGGTTCAAGACACCCAAAAAACCATATATCAAAGAATTATTCCTCTTTAAATGATCTAAAAGTTGTCCGCGACACTATATGTCTATCTTTTAGGATTAACTTGCAAGAACGATGGGCCGCAAGCGAAGGGACGCGACCAATGTCGTGGGTAACAGCTTGAATTTATAAAGATGAAGAATAGGTTTACAAAGAACAAATTTGGATGCCCAAAATAATTATTCCACGCGGACGAAGTCGCTGACGCAGCTAGTCTATTTAAATAAAGTGCTATCGTGCGTCTGGGGCATGGGGCATATACATTACAATATCTATTTCACTATTGCATTTTATTTAAAATTTAAGTACCTAATCCTCCTGCTTTTCTAAGCGAACGAACTCACAAGGCGGTCCCTACTCTTTGATCATTTCACATTGAAATTATAACTGAAGACGTCTTTATTCTAAGTATCTAGAAACTAAGTTTCAATCTGAGGATCATTTTGAAGAGAAATACGCATGTTAACATAATCATAATTAGTCGCTAATTTCATAACGATCTGTACTTATAACGATTTCGTACAGAAAGGATGTTTCACTCTCTATTTACTCACATAGTTACCACTATCAACTCATTACTCATAGCTTGTAACCGGTCAAGTATTTTATCTTTTAGAAAACGACATAATTCCTAGTAAAGCTATATAAAGTGGCCATCATTAGTTTTTTAACCGAGACTTAAGTTTAATAAAGCGTTCCGTCTTCAGCCATCACTTCTAGAAGACACCAATACACAAGTACACGAAAAATATACCTACAGGTATTATTTGCTTATTTTGGCAGTACATTTATTAAAATCGAGGGTGGATGTATAAAGGAACAGCGACCGAACAGATAAATACCCTATCTCTCTTGAATTAATTTTGACACATCTAATGAAAGTTATATGTTGAAACACGTATGTATATACTATCGTGTATACTCAGGTATTCATACTTTATTTGAAATATGAATAACGAAACATCAAAACATGTCAGGAGCACGTAATGTTAAGATAATCTAGGAATTTATGCAAAAAGTACATATATTATAGTTCTACCAGTACGTGTTTGTCACACTAAAACAATAAAGCACGCTTCTACATAGCTATTGAATTGAATTAAATATTTAGACATTGTCAAATTTGATAATTTATACATATAAATAATTTTATATTTATAGTTAGAGCAAGCTTTTATCATGTTCACTGACTGATTGACAATCGGGGAGGAATTTTGGAGAGTATGTTCTTTATAGTTTCACGTAGGCATAGGTATGATGAGAAAGGAATTTCTGAAATATCTATATCAAAGGAGTTAAATATCGAATTGATAGAATTCGTGTTTCGTATAATATAAGAAATATAATATAATTTTTTTGAAATTTTTTTTGGGGGAAAAGCGAAAATTTTTGTTTTTTTTTTTTTTTTTTTTTTTTTTTAAAAATTTGTTATTTAAAAAAAAAAAAATTTTTTTTTTTTTTTTTTTTTTTGGTTATTTTTTTTTTCCTTAAAAAAACCCCCCCCCGCAGTTAATTTCCCTTTTTTTTTTTTTTTTTTTTTTTTTTTTTTTTTTTTTTTTGTATCTACATACTATAGTGATGATTCATTGTTATGATATGCTACCGATCCCGAATTAACAATACTTATTGACTATTCAATGGTATCCCGTTTCTCAGGTAGCAATACTATACGTAAAAGGCCAACCACCTGCATACCAAAAAAAAAAAACTAACAACATTCTCCGAAATCTGAGCGTGACTCATAATATACCATAGACGGGGATTAACCCCAAGTTTTGGCGTAATGAATAAGTCTCTAGTTCTATATAAAACGCAGTAGCAATATAAATTAAGCTTAGTATATCGAATTGATTTAAAATACAACATAATCAATACCTATCTTAGCTTATTTCCTCTGCCTGTTGAAAGTAACAGATAAAGGACACTAATTGAACCCGTATTAAAAATACTAATAACTGAATTTAAAAAGAATAAATACTAATAGATTGTTTTCTTTATATTGTTAATATTAACATTAAAAAAAAACTAGGAAGTCACTAAAATAAATAGCAGAAAACGAAGCTTTTACAACTTTTATAGAAAGAAATGTCAGTGCATAGGTACAGACAGAGAGAGAAGATATCTTTTATATTTTTTACTCCTTTCCATGCCACTTCGTTTTCAATACCTTCATAAAATGTACAAACTACTTCTATTTCTTTAAAATATTATTATCATTATAAGCCTTTTTAACTTTACAAGAAACAAAATATCGTACTGTTTTAGCGTCGTGAGTTTTCTATTTGATAAATATTTAAACGGAAAATGATTAAGGAGGACTGTCTTAATTGCCTATTATATAACATTTTCTCACTGCTTTTATTATGTGCATTAATTCTACACCTCTCTACGAGTAATTACTAATGACATGTGTCAACTTACATTTATGCATCGAAGTTACAAGTAATAAAACAAGGTAATAAATAAAGTAGTGAAACACTTGGTAAATTATAATTACCTCATATACACTTTTATTATTCACTATTAATAATAATAATGGGTCTGGTGTAGATTAAATCATGTTTGTATTGATTAAACTGTGTGCTCAATGTATTGTGTGTGCCAGCGTCGAACAGTTGAGGATGTTTTCCGAAACTTGAATCGTAATACTAAAAATGCAGTAGATTCTTTAAGTTTCTATTCAGTTAGAACTATACCGAAGCGGACGAAGTTGTGGGTAACAGCTTAATTTTATAGAGTTGAACAGGAGGCTTGCATAAACAAACTTGCATGTCCAAAATAAATATTCTACGCGGACGAAGTCGCTGATACAGCTAGTATATTATAAGATGCAGCAGTGTACGCCAATCCCGGACACCGGTTTATTACTTAACGATCATAAAGTTCTTTTAATAAGTTCGTAATCGTTCAGTAGGTAAATGTCGAGTTAAGAAGGCCTCCGTTTTACTCGGCAAAGAACGAAACTCGTAAATATCGTAAACATAATTTCTCGATGTCATGTCATCCAGAATGTTCTATAGCACGCCATGCATCGATGTTGCTACCGATTTGACTTGATAATCGCATTATATAAATATTATGTTGTTTGTTGTATAATGCCATATAATGCATGCATGTTTAGGTTGGTACATAAACGGCTTATGGCGGCACGAGGAGACTGGATTCTTATCTTGTTATTATGCATATTCTATTTTATTTTAAGATGTTACAGATCCTAAATGAGTATTTCCTTCCGAATGATAAAACACGATTTAAGTTTCGTTAAAATTAATCAAACGTGTACAAAAATAAAATATATTTTTAGGTGACCGCTTCTGTAACTAAATGGTTAAACGGGGGTTCAAATCCCGGGGAAACAATAGATTTCTAATCAACTACTTGCGTGTTAAGAAAACCGAACGGGAGTTCACTTAAATTTGTTAACTATCTTAACTATTTAATTGGGTAAGAAAGTTATTATATAAATAACTATATACGTTATATAAAAATTTAAGTGATTGCATTTAATTGTTGTTCCCTATTTATTTATTGTTTAATTAAAAGAAAAGAGTTGTCATAAAAACCTTAACTGACACATAGTTCTAATTGTTTTGGAAATACTAACAGATCCCTCCCTCGTAGATAGAAATGTGTTTTTAAAGTTATACATTCTTATTCCCGGATAACTAACGAGGACGATGCTACAATGAATAGTAAATTACTTTTTACATGATTACTACAGAATACAATACGCAGATGTAAAGGAATAAATTATCAATATTGACATTTTAACGTTTCAACAATTACTGAAGATTATGAATGCTTAATTAATAGTAAGAAGCCACCTGTGGAATTAATAGTTTGACTGGATCTAATATTATTCAAAACTTAAGTTTCCGGGAAGTCTGTCAACAAATCTCTTATTATTTATTCATAAGAGCATCTTAAACATACGTCCTCTTACATTATTCATATTGAAAATAAATAAAAAAGCATTTAGTGGCCATTAACTATCTATAAGCTTCATTTTGCAAACGCGTTATTTATCTTTAGAACACATTTCGACGTCATTTATTCAGGTGCGTATGCGGAAAGTTTTGAGAATTTAAATAAAATGTATCGCAAATATATATGACTAGTTGTGCCAGCGACTTCGTTCGTAGAATAGTTATTTATTATTTATATAAATCACCTTCTCCTCTTTATTAGCTTAACCACGACCGGCAAATTACTTGTATCGTCGGGTACGTGTTTTCAGATCATTTAAGGAGGCATCATCCTTTTATACATATTGTTTAGGTATCTTGAATAGTTTTCCCGCTTTGTCCACATTATTTATTCGCTCCTAGGAGCGCGATGTTTAAAGCCTTCCCCGATAAATGTTCTAACCAACACACAAATAATTTTTAGAAATTATTCGATTAAACAATTCGAAGTACTTCCTGAGATTAGCGCGTTCAAACAAACAAACAACTTCCTTAAATGTATAATATAAGTGTAGATGAGTAATGTATGTGCATCTTCGTCAGGCATGTGTCGGGTCATTCGTAAAACAGTTCCGACTCGTAAGAGATTCAATGTTAAAATTGCATTAAATAGAGAGCGCACTTTTAACTATCTTTATTGCTTAATAAGTAGGAAGACTTTTCTTAGCAAATGTAATAAATGTGGTAGAAGTGAGGAACCATAATGTCTGTCTCAGGGCCAGCCTTCAATTGTTTTATTATCGCATCATATCAATGGGGTTCTCATGAATTTATCATTATGATATATTTTACTATGTATGACAGTCATACAGTCTCGGTTATCTGTGGAATTAAAACGGATAATCGTTTTATTAGTATGCTAAGTCTTGAGAAGCAATGCCAACGGGATAGTACCAAGGCGACATATGTATTATGTTGATAAAAAGTATAGTGTATGAAAAATAAAACACTTTTAACGGTTTCAAACGCGAAATATATGAGATGTTCTTCTGTTTGATATATTTTAACTATGACCTAATGGACACGGGAAGATTACCGCGGCTTCAACTGTTAAAAGTAGGTATTCTATGAAAATGTGTATTGTTGGCGTAAACTACAGACAATGGATAATATTGTAATTTTTAATTTATAAACTACTACTAATAGTTATTTCTTAATATTTAGCCTTACTATGCTCAGTCTTAAATAAATCGACCTTTCGATAAATCGCAACCTTTGATTTACAGTAAATGAAGTTCTTATTCTCTTTATCAATACGATGTTTAAACGAGACTTGATTTATTTAATCAATGGAGAGTGATAGTCTCGCGGAGTCTTTAACAAGATACGTTAATTTAAATATTTGCTTTAATAATAATGAAAGTTATTGTCATTGCTATGCAAATTTGAGGATACATTTATTGATGAGATTTTTGGATACTTGTGTTGGTTTGCACCTGTTATTAAAAGTATTTCGTTTTATGTTTATGCTATGTTAATTCTTATATATTTTATTCATATAATTGCATATTACGTATAGATAATATTTAAAACGTTCGAAGGGAATTATCCTGTGACATACATACATCTCATTATATTGATTCAGAGAAACAATATATATGTGTATATTATGGAGGTTATTTACCAATAATATGCACTGTATTCATTATATTTTCCTCGTACTTTAGAGTTTAGACTTATTAAAAATACTAACATAATATCATTTTAATCAAAATTTTTGAGTAAACTCCAAAAATTTTGATTGAAATATTTAAAAAAAGGTACCCTAAGTATTAAAATTAATGCAATGCGTCGTAGGTATATTGGGGGTTGATATTTACAGATAGTCAAGTTATTCTGAAACTACAGTGATAATTAACCTAGTGAAGTATTTTTATGTACGGTCCTTATCGCAAGGTAGGTAGTTAATTTGCATAATTGGAACACTTAGCCATAGTCTATTAGGTAATGGTCTTTTGGAAGTAGTTAGGTATCTAGTTTAGAAGTTTTGCGTCTTATATACGTGTAAAGTAATATAAGTTATATTTAGTTTGAATTAAATCTAAAGGTACAATAAGAGATTAATACTTAGAATGTTTTTTTAGAAATTCGCTCAAATAAACAATAAAAAAATTGTCATCAATTTTTGTTACGATTGTACGAGAGTCAAAACCAAAATATACGCACTTTAGCCTACTGTCAACTACTCCAATATTTATCACTTTTCGACGAGGACATGTCCCGTAAAAATTACAACCGCACAAAAACTTTCACAAAACCCTATTTCACTCACTTGTACTTATCACGGGGATCGTGTTGGAGCCGGTATCTAGACTGGGGTCAGGTGCACATGCCGTGATGAGACGACTTTGACAGTGCCGGTGTTGACGTGTTGATGGACCGTGCGGACCGTACCGAGTGAAAAGCACGATAGGCGTGCTGGCTTGTGCGCGATTGTAGCGCGACTGACGGACGGGAATAAGCTCAGCTATCAGCAGGGCTGGAGATGAGCTACGGAGGCTGCGCCATACTCCCCCTTCGCCCCGCGAACACGCGTCATTCCACCCTGCACCCCGCGCCCTTCACCTCTCAGAAGCCCAGCCTGGGAGACCCCGTCGACACGCGTTGTACAAGGACTATTTTTATTAAGTACGGTCATGGAATTAATTAGGCTTTCATAATTATTTGAGATTAACTAATACAACACCCAAATAAAATTGTAGACATAATATTATTATATATTTGTAGCGATTACTTAAATATTCTTTGTAGGTCAATAATAAGTTATATTTAGATCTCAACAACATCTGAATCGATACATTGTTCTAAAACTTTCCTTTTAAGAAGTTTATAGGTACTGTCTGTCTACTTGGTAGGTATATTTTTTGATTAAGTAAGTATACAATTTAAATAAAACACTTTTAACGGTTTGACTTATTTAAGTTTAACTACCCAACTTTCGCGTTTTGTGAGTGTACAACTACTCGCGTAAACTGCAGACAGTACTTAAGTTACAAAAATTAATAACTTTTACAAATTATACGGTCTACCTTTTTTGTTTATATTTCATGTCTATTTTTATTATGTTAACATGTTACAAACTATTATAATTCTTTCCAACTATAAAACAAAAGGAGTACACTTCTTTGTCTGTTGTTTTTGAGAAAAGTCGGTGTTAAATGAACGGTAAAATATGGATGTCGCTTTATAGGCGCCACGCCGACTGCGTTTATCTGATCAAGTTAAGGCTGATCGGATTATCTCGTTTAAAGGAATAAAGGAAAGGAATAATAATTATTAACTGAAACTGTCAGGGCTGGATTTATATTCGTTGAATATGGATCACAGATAACCAAAAAATTTTCTTAGTAATAATCCAGATGTGAATAAATTAGAAATATAAAAACGGTTCATTGACTAGAAACCTTTCGAAAAAATCCAAAAATGTTTATCGCTTTTAAAGCTTACAAAATAATATACTAGGCGTAGAAGCTGATATCAAATTTCGAAGGTAAAAACTCACGCGCAGAATCGCATCTGTAATGGCGACTGTCGAATGATGTAAAAATATGTTTAACCAATAATATAAGTTAACAAGAATCTACTATACTACTACTTAATTTGTTTGTTTACACACATGTAGCGCAAGGGAAAGATGCATATTTTTATCCGGTACCGGTTATCCAATTATTTACTTACTTCATTACATGATGGATGGTTTATATGTCCCATTTTAAATCACCTTAATCCTAATACAAACATATTACTGAGATAACCTTTTTCAGACTTCTGAGCACAAAGGCAATGACCGGTTTACTTTTTAATGTAGCGTCTTTAGTGTGTCAGTTACTTACAGAATAGTTATATGACCTTCGCGTGAAGTTATAGCGGTTTTGTCACCTCGTTTAATCATGTTCTGAATTCGAAATGCAGTAAGAAATGTAGTTGTACCATCTGGTACTTAAATAAACACTTTATAAGAACAAATACACTTTTGAAAAATAACAGGCAAAACAATAATATAAGGTGTACTAAGGATTTACTTTTTGACTTCAGTTTACCTTCGCTTTAAAAGTCTGGGTAATATATTTAAGACGTGTATCTCTCAACAGGTGTTAAGTGTTACCAACTAGTTTTCTGATTTAATAAACGGATATTTGTAAAATGTAATTGTAAAAATGTAATTAATTATTATTTTCAAATGAGCCTATACCTTTGAATCCATTTTTCTATTAGATACATCATATAACCTACATCGTCTAGTTGGGTTATTGATCATAATTATATAAATAGGAAGCTTATGATATTTATTATATTTTCATCACCTCACGATTTAGTAGTGTGCAATAAAAATAAAATATACAGAATACATACGAAACAGAAAGGAAAACGATTTAACATTTAACATTATGTCACAGTGAACGCAGTTTCCAAACCTTTCTCAGAAGTTTATTTGCACAAACGTGTAGGTAATTTGTGCCGAATGGGCAATTCGCTCAGGTCAAGGATAGCGATAAATCGATATTTGCAGGTGCTCAGGGGTTGAACTTACATAAGAGTGCTTGACGTCATGCCCCAAGTCGTTGACCGTTGAAGCATGTTATTTATTGCTAGACAATATGGTAGCAGTGACCACAGAACACTTCAATTCTAGTAATGACGAATTTAAATTCGGTTTTCCCATAAAAATATTATTTTTTTCCCGCTTCCGTCTTGCTTTAAAACTCCTAATTTATGCTAGTACGTCACTTAAGGAGAACTATTAAAATAAAACAAAACAATATTATAAAGATTTATACCTGTGTAGTAAGTTACACAAGTAAACAAGACGTAGGTATTAATGTTACTAAATTATTATAAAAAAAGTTTGATATATATTAAGAACATTTAGACCTTGAAAGCAACAAATCTGTATACAATTTCTAAACATATTTGTATTATCACTACCCGCCTATGTTTTACTGAGTTAAGCTATTCTTAATATTGTTCTTTTGATTTCTCATTTCATTAAAATCATATGTTTTGCGTTTCTTTACTGCTGCAAAGCAGTCCGAAACGTCGGGCCGAAGTTAAAAATCATTTTCAAATAAGTTTAACTAATACATCGCGTTTTAAACCGTTAAAGTGTTTTATTTAAATGCTTTGATTCTGTTATTACAAGTTAATATTTAACTGCTAATATTCAAAAAATAGAATTACTAAATGTTACGTACATTTAAGTACATAAGTACCTACTGCTCTTCATGTAAACATTTCTCACAAACGTAAGTTCTACGATTGAAAATCTTTACATGATATGTTTTCAGCGTGCAATTCTCTTCAATAAATAAGTAAGATATTGATATGGCATTGACAATTGAACATAACGATCTGGAACAATATAAAAAAAACTTCTTATAAACTGTGTAAAACTGTTCCGTTTCACAATTTTTTAAGCCAGTTCTTCTTCACCCTGCCCAAACGAGACTTTAATTCCCCGCGATTCTAGGACCTTTATTGCCTAACGCAATGCTACGCAGAAAGATGCTGTAGAGATTACTATGCTTACAGTGTAGTAAAGTATATCTCCTGTTAATTCTGTCGTATCACCTATTCTTTTTTTAAACACTTTTTACCCTTTTAAACGCAATACGTTTTAGTTATAATACCTAAGGGCTGCTAATAACTTATAAATAAGTTTAACTAATACATTCGACGTTTTAAACGGTTAAAAGTATTTTATTTAAACATTCAAACATTAATTAGATTTCTTAAGACTAAAAAACATGATATCAGCCATTTGCTTTATTTTATGCGACAAACAATTATATTCAATTTATGTTAAGTGTACGAATATGTAGAATAGCGTGTTTGTTGAGAGCAATAATAAAAATAAGTAAATACCAAGAATCGATGTCTATAACTTATTAGAGAAAAGAGAAACGTTTATGTAAACAACCAACAACTTACCGATCACGTGGCCTTTACGTGTGTGAGTTTATTACATCTACGGTTGTGTGTGTTGACCGGCTTCATGGCTAATAAACCTCATACATACGCAGTAGGTTTGTATTTATGCTTTTTAGGATATAGTTTACAGCACAGCCAAGTATAGCTTCTTTCATGAGAAAGGAGATCGCTTCTTGACATTAGATAATATGCCCCAACAATATAACTTCAAATTTTTATACTACATATGTTGTCTACCTAAATTTATCCTACAACAGATACAGTCGTGCTAATGTCCAGATTTTTAAAGTTCAAAACTTTTATTGCCATTATAGGATATTTACAACTTATAACTAAATTGCGTGAAGAAAAGGTAATCGGTACCAGTCTCACCTGTGCTGCTTGAAGCTTCTCACACTCAGCAGCGCTGGTTTTCAGGCGGGACTGGGTATACTACCGGTTTAGCCGTTTAGTTTTTGTAATCAAACTTTTTAGGAGTCGCTTGTTTACGTTTTAGCGCGAACAAAACAATATTAAAATGTTGATTAAAAATGCCATAGTATTACGAAACCTATTTGAAGACAAAATATTGAATTTGAGATAGTTTAGATAAGATATCTAATGATTTTTAACCAATGATTATTAGTACCCCCTGAGCCATATCTTATGCAATTCTTAATTTTTTTTATTAAGTTATTTGATTTCTGATTGTATTATTCGGTTGTTTGTTATAGATTAAACGTCGAAGAAAATATGCTTATTCGTATTCACTCTGTAATAGTCATTTTGGTGTATTATAACAGTTAAAAGGCAATATTGTAAACTCGAGGTTCATTGCCCGCCTCATACAAAAGATCGGCTTAAGATGAAATTCACTAAACACGAAGACGTGTCAATCTTCAACTTTGTAAGCTGTCAGTTTTTATTACAACGGTACGCGAACTTTTATCATTGTGAGAACGAACTAAGGCTCGGGTCTCTTATTAAAGATGTAACATTACAAAGTATACTTTTGTTAACAATCGATTATAAATTGAAACATTTACAATACGGGCAGGAGGATTTTAAATTTATATATGTAGTGCCACCATGACAAAAACATTAAACTTTTATACAATTGTTGTCTCTGTTACGCGCTGACAGCTCTGTGTGGAAATATAATCGGTACCGCGCCTATTTGCTATAATTTAGTTATCGTCAAATTTCAATGGAAAACTGAAGGCTAGTTGATAACTGATTGTCGTTAATACAAGATCGGCTTGCAGTATAGTTTACGGTCTTTAAGTAGGCATCTTAACGCAGCGTAATGCGTGATACTGTACGTGGCCCACTGCGTTTTAGGACCACCACAGCGTGCGTTGCGATTCCATATAAGGTACCCCAGTAAAAACACATTTTGACGTATGTTTATTTATGCTATTTAATAAGGCTTTATTAATAGATCTTTGATAATCGCACCATGTTTTGTTATTTACGTAAAACGATGATTGTTAACTTTTTCATTTCGAGCTTCTTGAATATCAAATTTGTATTGCCCTTTTTTATCTATCAATTACCACTATTGAGTGACGTGTATTATTTATTTTAAAACTATAGTGTACGTCACCAAGAACTGCAGTTAAACGTAGTAGTATTTTGCTTTATCTTTATCTGTTTTATCTTTAACAGACCTTTATCTTTGTCGTCTTTTATCTGTTTTAATTAATATATGTCTATTATCTCTGGGTAAACAGAGATATTATTTTTGTCTGTGTAGTAAATTGATTAGAATATCTGTATTAAAATATGTCGAAGGGAATTTTATATTTATTGTAGCTGGCCATAAACGAATTGGTAATACCTACTTAAAAAAACTATGTATATTTATTTTCAAATCTATTTTAATTATTTATACATTATTTGAATAAAACCCTTAACGGTTTAAACACGAAATATACGCGTAACTAAGACTACACGTTGAGGCGTAGTTAAAATATGTTAACTAATATATTTCACTATGTTAATCCTAAAGTTCATAAATTACATACAAAACATATTTAATTTAAAACATTTATCCAAACTACATTTGTGTACATTTCACACGATTTAATTTATTGTTAGATTATATAATTTTAAATAAACACTAAAACTAAATAAATTTAACACCATATTGTCCCCCCGGGATTCGAACCTGGGCTTTTCGTGCTTAACGCACAGTTAGGCAATACGTTTAACCATTTAACAGAGGTGGTATTTTTCCTTTTTCCCATCAGTAAAAACATGGCCGTAGGGAAAAACTAGTATATTTGGACGTTAATTACAATATTAGAGGTATGTGGCTGACAGTTGGTTTGGTTTAATGTTAATAAATCAAAGTATTTACGCTTGAGCAATGGCTGACCCAGTACATTAATTAGTTCGTCACATGATTCAATACAATCATTGATTGATACTATTTGTGGCAAGAATCGATGTACAGTCCAATGTACGATCATTTTGCACAAGCCACAACCCAAGTTCAAGGCGGTTTTCAATGATTTGAAACACTGTGACATTAAGTATTTAATTAATTGTATATGGGGGCATGGGGATTTCGCTTGATGGACTTTCTTTGTAATCAAGTCGTTGATAAGAATTTATCGTACGTAGAAATGACGGCTGTTGGTACAAAAAGGCGAGTGAAGACCACGTTTGTGACGAAAACTTAAACGACCTCCTATCAGGTGGACGGACGACCTGGTCAAGGTAGCTGGAAAACTCGTGATTCAAGTAGCGAACGTCCTACCGAAGGCCTTTGAGGGAGGCTTATGTCTAGCAGTGGACAC